GCTGCCTCATGCCTGCCAGCCTTCCTGAAAAACCATACTGTGGGCCATTCGACTAACCCTTGGGTAGACTCTATCTGCTGCACCCCTACACCGTCCCTTATCAGCTTGAAGAAGCCAGAACGGTCATCATCCCTGTTCCTCAACAGCAGTTACAGGCCCTGTTCCAGGGAAAAATAAATAGGGAAAAGGGGTAACATTAGACAGGGAGAGATAAGGGACCTTCAGGGAGGCAGACTGCAGCTGCAAATGGGAGGCTAAAGAAGCAGATGGGGTTCTTCCCTTATGAGATCCTTTATGGGCACACCCCCCCCCCATTATCAGGGGCATAAAGGAAAAATCTAAATGAGATAGACAATCTAACCCTAAAATAACGGATGCTGGCTCTTGGCTTTACCCTAACCACCTTTCATTTCACCACTGGGTCAGAGAATGATTACTAGCCAAGCAACAAACCAAAATGTACAATGCCATCTATCAACATTGCTTGGCTTTAGATTACACGCTTGCTTCTGAGAGAGATGTTTGTAAAAATTTTAACCTAAACAACTGCTGTCTACAAATAGATGAAAAAAAAGTCATAGAGGAGATCACAGATGAAATAAAAAAGGTTACTCATGTCCCAGTCCAGAACTGGAACAGTTAAAACCCTAGAGATTTATTTGGGGTTTTCAACTCTTGGGGGATTCAAAAGCCTCACAGAAATTATCCTCCTAATTTTAGGAGAATACTTAATCTTACCCTACTTAGTTCCCCTGGTTGTCTGGTCTGCTTCCAGTCTCATTGAGGCCATAATTAAAAAAAGAGATGTCCACTCATGTAATGATATAAAAATATCAATCCCTAAACCAAGATGATGCTCTTTGACCCTAAATAGAGGGGTCAGAGCATCAAAGTGGAGAATGTGGCAGGGTCCCCTCCCTAAGGAAAGAAAAAAAACCCAAAACACCTCAAGGCAACCTTGCTATTCACGTATATGAGAATATCTCTCACGACCTTGTAACATGAGACCACGTTAATCAGACTGCATGTTTGCAGAGAAGTAAAAAATAATATAAAAAACCACACCACGTGGTGTTCGGGGCTCAGTTCTTTGGGTAGGAACCCTAGTGAGCGACGCCGGCTGGAATAAAGTTGCTTCCTTGAAGGAAAAGCCTAGGTGTCATGACTCTGTGTGAAAATCCTGCTACAGTGAGGGAAGGCATTTGCTCAAGTATATACATTAATTTACAAACCAGATATTGATAGAACATCATCAAGTGAACTCTAATGTGAGATAAGGGATCTTCAATTTTTTAAATTAAAATTACTAACTAAAATGGGAAGGGAGATTGAATATCAACTAATTCAACTACCTTATTTCACAAATAAGATAAATAATCATGGAAAACAAAGAATACTAACCAAGTTAGAGGAAAAATGATCATCAAAACCCAGGTTTTACTGAGAATGCAGGTGTTTCTTAAATGTACCGTATTACAGTCCGCAACAATTCAGAAAGTAAAGGCTGTAACTTATTGCATTGCTTCCCTATGTAAACTTAATGAAGAATAAAAATAATACACTCAGAAGTCTGCATACCTGTGCTCCATCTAGTCTCCATCTGTGGGATCCCCTACACAAGTTAGTGAACACTGTAATACTATGCCTCCTCATGGGATTAATGTGAGAATCAAATGAATGCCCTATTAAAAATGGAAAGTGTAATCATCTTCTCCATCCTCATCCCTTCAGATTCTCCAGTGCAGTCTCTTAGTAAGGTTTCAATCATTATGTGCAGGAGAGAGAGAAGAGGGAGAAAAAATAAACTACTATAGGGGTGCCTAGGTGGCTCAGTTGATTAACTGTCTAACTCTTGTTTTTGACTCAGGTCATGATCTCATGGTTTGTAAGATTCTCTCTCTCTTTCTCTCTGCCACTCCCCAGCTCATGTTTTCTCTCTTTCAAAATAAATACTTAAAAAATATATATATATATACATACATACATATATACATACACACACTGTAATTCTGACTAGTTGGGAGTTTTGTTGTTCTTGTTTTACATGAGGAAGAAAAGTGGGGAGAGGAGAGTAAGAAGGAGGTGGGAAGGTTGTTCATAATGTGCAAATAACCTCCTCCCAAAGGAAAGTATTCTACATATCTCTTATCAATTAAAGACTCTCAGAATCACAAGGTTTTATACTGCGCATGTTAATATTATCATTTTTCCCAGAGCAGGCCCTGTAACACTTTTTACTTTTAAAATCGTTTTTTAAAATTTTTAAAAATATTTTTATTTATTTCTGAGAGAGAGAGAGAGAGAGAGAGAGACAGTGTGAGCAGGGGAGGGTCAGAGAGAGAGGGAGACACAGAATCTGAAGCAGGCTCCAGGCTCTGAGCTAGCTGTTAGCACAGAGCCCGACGCGGGGCTCAAACCCACAAACCATGAGATCATGACCTGAGCAGAAGTCAGATGCTTCACCAACTGAGCTACCCAGGCACCCCTACTTTTAGAATATTTCAGAAAATCATGTAATAGATACTTAGGTATATATCTATCTTCCCTACTCCACTTTACATGTGTCCAAAACAGGGACTCACAGTATTTAGCCTTTAAAAGTTGTTTGTGAATTGTTTTAATTGGGTCAACATCCAGTGAAATATAAAGCTGGGTGGCTGAAGTTGTGCCTAAGAGAACTGGATGAAAGGGAAGAATTGAATGAAAAGAGAGATTAAGTATTTAATCTCACTTTGGACTCTCTCCAACTCCTTCTCCACCACTATTCTTGATTTCTCAGATCCTTTGCAGAAGTCCTCTACTAAAATTTTACATACCCATAAATTTCTTGATTGGTATTATTATATTAGTAACACTTATAAAAATACCATGTTTTCACTCCAGGCATGGAAATATTTAAAGAAAAGTACATCAAATGGGTATTTTCTTAAAAAGATGGCAAACAAATCTTGTACAAAATGTTCATCAGGTAAAACATGTGCAAAAGGGGTGCCCCAGTAGCTCAGTCGGTTAAGTGTCCAACTCTTGGTTCTGACTCAAGTCATGACTTCACAGTTCCTGAAAATTAAGCCCTGCCTGCCCCACCCACGCCCCTCCACTCCTGTCACCAAGGAGCCTGTTTGGGATTCTCTCTCCCTGTCTTTCTGCCCCTCTCCCAACTGTGTGTGCCCGGGCGAGTACTCTCTCTCAAAATAAACAAACTTTAAAAAAATTTTTTTAAGTGCAGGAAAAGTACAATTTTTTAAAAGAAAAAAATTGTGCCTTCTGTGAATTTCCATTCCCATTTAAAATCTTGTTCTGACACAGAGCCCAAGGCAGGGAAAGGCTCCATGGCACAAACTGTGAGATCATGACCTGAGCAGAAATCAAGAGTCAGGTGCTTAACAGATGAACCACCCACATACCCCCAATTCATTATTTTAAAATTCCAAATTCTTTTTAAAGTCTGGCATCAGAGTTCCTTACTAGCAAAATTATTTTAATACCTGAATTTGGTGATATGGTTTCTTCATTACACAGCATACATAATCCTACATATTGAAGCTGCTTTGTGAACAGAGACCATATTTCCTTCTTCCATACAAAATTATGAACTTTAGCTGCATTACCAAAACCCAGTCATTGGTTTGCCCAGATATTCAGAGTGGAAAATTTCTCAAAATATTAGTTAACCCATTCCAAGAATTCTGTCATTTTAATGGCAAGATAATGTAAAATAATCATGAAACTATGTCAAGTGCAAGCTAATATCGCCATAATTTTTAAGAGTGTTTTTAAGTTTCCAAAAATTACTGAATGTCTAATTGACTTGCTTGGTGATCTACTTTTATTATTACCATATGAGAGTTGTCAAAATATTTTCATCACTCTCAAGATTGCCAAATATTTAGATATTTCAAATTTCAGTGACATTTGTTATTTCTTCTTGTGGGTTGTTGTTGTTGTTGCTTTTTAAGTGTTTGGAATGCTTTACCAAAAGGATATCACATTACTCCATAGGTAAAACTTGAGCAATCTGTACACAGTTTAGACTAGAGTATAATGTATACTTCTGATTACTTTTGTTCACTAAGGAATAATTGCCGGGTTCCATATATTTAAATATTCTAAATAAGAATCAGATTCAACAGATTTTATTCCAGTAATTTTAATGAACTAAAGCACTTTTTTTTATGATTAAGTTAGATATCAATGTAAAAGAAAAACCTAACCAAAACTTAAACATGCTATTTGCACTACTAAAATATGTAAATACGCCCAAAGCACTAACGGAACCAAAAATGTGCCCCTTAAGGCCTAGCAAAAATATCAGAATCTCAGTTAAATGTTCAAATTATACACAGTATTTAGAAAATGTAGCTGGATGGGATCATCCCCGTAGTTTTCACTTTTGGAGAAGACTGTGCTACACTAAGCTTTGCAAAACCTAACATTTTTAACTTTAAACTTACTATTTCAAATTCCGAGGGGTAAGACTACAAACACATGGCCTTGGGGAGTTTAAACTTTTCCTTAAAAACAAAACAAAAAAAAAAACCAAAACACCAAGTTTATTTTTAGGAGTGTGCTAGGGTAGTAGTCAAACAGAACACCGGCTATTACAAATTCCTGGCTGGTCCCATCTGTAAGTGAACGGCGGACCCTGGGCTGAGAGAGGCTTCATTTCAGCCCAGGCTGGACCGCAGCACCGAGCCCGCACGCGGGAGGCGCCGAGCGCAGACCAAACGGCAGACGGAGCCGCCCGGGGGCGGGGGGCTCGCACGTGCCGGCCGGGGGCGGGGCCGGCCGGAAAGGACCCCGGCGCGGGGAGGCGGGCGCGGCCGGGCCGACCTCCCCCGCGGCCGCCAGCCTCGGCTTTACATAAGGGCGCACGTCATGGAACTGATGGAGCCACACAGAGACGTCTAAGTCATGCAGGAGGCGCGCGGCCCCGGCCCGATCCCGCCGCCCCAGACCCCTCCTCTCATCCGACAGAAAGACAGACAAGAAGGGTTCCCGACCTGTCGTGCCCTGCATGTTCAGAGTCTGTCATGTTTGGTCAAGAACGGGGCGGGGCTGGAGGACAGGTCTGCGAGGCCGGCGGCGGCGGGGCGCGGGGAGGACCCCCGCGCCGCCTGCGGGTACCTGCTCCCGGCCGCCGCCGAGAGGTGACGAAGTGGTAAAAACTCACGGTTACTAGTGAGCGACACAGACACAGACTTTCCAGTCTATTAACAACCACGCCAGAGAGATGGGACTCTAACTGCAAACACTGGGCAACGGCCCCGCGCTGCCGGCGCTGCCGCTTTAGTCTCTATTCGCCGCCGGTGGCTGAGGCTTGGGAGCGGGCGGGCGGGCGGCGTGCAGCGACGCGGGGATTTGGACACTGGCCGTAACGGTGATTTCTCCTCACCAACATGGCGGCACCCGAGACAGGCGGCTCGATAAAATGGCGCCTGCCGCAACACCTAGCCCGGGACTAAAGAGCAGGAGAGATTCCTCCGCGTGCCGCGGCCCTTGCCCGGCCCGCCGGAGCCGAGCGCGTTGGCCATTGGAGGAGGAGGTCCGTCAATCACCTCCGGGGGCGGGTTCCCATCCTTCTCAGTGATGCGGCGGAGGCGGCAACTCGCTGGCGAGGCCCGGCGGCGCCTGGGGCTGTACTGGGCGGGGTAGGAGGCCCTTGGACTCTCCTCGGGCGCCTCCGGGCCCGTTTTTTGGAGGCCGGAGAAGAACCGGGAGGAAGTGCGCCCTAACGGGCCCTCAAAGCCCTTCTGCGGCTGTGATCAGGGGTGGGGTGATAAAGAACACGCGGGTGTTGAGTCAAAAAAAAAAAAAAAATCACCACGGTCGCTTAAAAATGGGAAAATGTACTTCCCCCTTACAAGGTAGCGTCTATCTCTTTTTTGTAATGTTCAGTGCTCGGGAACGCGTTTTGAGGAAAATGGCTTGGCGTGTGACATTTTCTGATAATACTAAATTTACCTACCTGATCATTCGTTAATAAAAAAACACAAATCAGATTTAAGTTATTAAGTAAAAACATTTAACATTCCATACGTAAAATATACACGAATATTTTAACAAGAGCCAGCCGTCACGTTACTTTATGCTTATGAACAACGTGACCTTTGGAAATAATTTTTTAAAAAGTCAATGTTTTGGCCTATTCAGTAAATTACTTCTGAAGGAAAGTTCTTGTTTTGTAATGAAATGAGGGGCTTAACGGTAAATCCTCTCAGATATCTGACTTTGCGGTATAAATGCATCTGGCTAATGCATACACGCAGTGCATTCAGAAGCAATCGCAATTAGGTTAAATTTTTAACAAATTGGATATGTACATTGAAAAAGGAAAGAAATAGCACTCTTTTTTTAAGCTGAATGCAGCCATTGACAAGACCTGCACACTGATAGATAACTCATACATTTCGACAGAATACATTACTAGGAAACATTCAAAAAGTAGATCTATTTTGTCGGGAGTAACAATAATTAGCATTTGGAGTTAGATAAGAATCTCAGGACTTTGTCTATTTATTGTAAACTATTTTACTTAGGTCTTATTGTAGCTAATTTGGATAGCCCACTTCTCATTTTCCCTTTATTTTTTTTAAAAAATAGCTTTATTGATATTAAAGCATATACCTGAAAATTTACCCATTTTAAGTGTGCAATTAAATGACTTTTAGTAAATTTACCGAATTTTGCAGCTATCAACAACATTCAGTTTCAGAGCATTCCATTCCCACAAGTGCCTATTTACAATTAATCCTGTCTTGCCACACCTGTGTCTGGCAACCTACACTCTGCTTTCGATCTCTAAAGATTTGCCTTTTTGAACATTTCATGTTAATTGAATTATTTCATTGTCCCTTTGAAACACCCAGTCACTCCTGCACAATCTGAATGGAGCTCAGCTCTTTCTGCTTCAGATAATAGTTTCTGAATAAAAGCTAATAAAAATTTTGCTACTTTACTGCCTAGCTTTGTTTATCTTTGACTATCATCCCTACCCCTAATGCACACAAAAATTGTGACAACTATAAAGGTGCCAACAGGGGAAGGAGTGCTACCGGCATCTAGTGGGGAGAGGCCAGGGATGTTGCTAAACATCCTATTATGCACAGAACTGTCTCCCACAATTAGGCAAACCCAAATGTCAAAATGTTGAGGATGAAGAACTCTGCTCCTGACCAGCAGAACCCAAAGTATTGGCGATTAGAAGCAAAAATTAAAAAAAAAAAAAAAAGCAAAAACTTTACTAGGATATCAGAGAGATAATAAAGGAAGGATCCATTCCCATTTCCATCGTTTGATTCCCAGACCTGTGAATCCTGACTGTGGGAGAAATAGCACCATATTATTAGATTGCTAATTTATAGCATATGTCCACAAAACATGTACTTTGCATATAACTAGTACTGAAACTGGTCCTCAAAGGCCATTCCACCATCTTATTAGGTCAGTTGCTTTGTGTGTGGTTAAATATATAAGATACAAAATTTGCCATTTTAACCATTTTGAAGTGACAATTCAGTGGCATTAACTACATTCACACTGCTGTGCAGCTCTCACTGTCTACTTCTAAACTTTTTCATCACCCCTGACAGAAACTGTAACCATCAAGCAATGACTCCCATTTCCTGCCTCCCAGCACTGAAAGTCTCTAATCTGTTATTTGTCTCTATGATTTGCCCATTCTGGATACCTCATATAAATGGAAATACAGTAATTTATGCTTTTGAGGCAGACTTACTTCACTTAGCATACTGTTTTCAAGGTTCATCATGTTGTAGCATGTGTCTGAATTTTATTCCTTTGTATGGCTGAATAATATTCCATTGTATGTACATACCACATTCGATTTATCCAATACTTGAGTTGTTTCCACCTATTGGCTCTTGTGAATAATCCTGCAATGAATATGAGTATGCAAATATCTGTTTGAGTCCTGGTTTTCAATTCTTTGGTGTATATACCTAGGAGTAGAATATGATAATGCTGTGTTTAGGCCAGCTGCTTTATAGTGATAGGGACATCACTTATCTATTGCTGCATAGCAAATTATTCCAAAATTTTGTGGGTTTAAAACATAAATGAGACCGGGACCTTGGGGACAAACCCCTATGCACCCAGGACTCTCCCAGGTGTCTCTTATCACTTCTCTTGCAGAGCAACCCGTGAGCTGTTACCACTTTTTCTTGCAAAGCACCTGCCAAGGAACAAGACTAAACCAGGTTCAGACTAGTCCAAGATAAGATGGGCAGCAAATTTACTTTCACTGACTTTTCCCCTCATAGCTAAAAAATGCACCCAGAAGTGGAGACAACACCCAAAACATATGGTATATGAAGCATGTTTTTTCAGCTGGGCCTGTGCCCCAAATTTCCTGGAATTCCTCACCCCTACATGCTTAAACATCACTCCTTTCTCCCTCAGCCCCTTTGAAAGTTCCTCTGACTATTGTTCAGAGTCAGCCTGATACTTTTGTCACGACCTGTCTCCCTCCAGCTGTAGCCGTTGCCCCTATAATAAAGCCTTGCCTGTGCTTTTAAATTTTGGGGTCCAGCCTCGTTTCTACCATGGCTGGGTCCAAAGACCTGAGTCTGGTAACATAAACATTTATCATCTTATATTTTCTGTGGCTCAGGAATCCAGCTGCTTCTTAGCTGGGTGGTTGTGTTCCAGATTCTCCTGAGGTTGGAGTCACACTGGCAGATCAGCTGCCAAGATGGCCAGTCATATGGCTGGCTTTTCACAGGCTGCATGAGTGCTTTATGACATGGTGACAGGTTTCCCTTCTGGTAGGTAATTCAAGAGAGTGAGGCAGAAACTGTGATGCTTTTCACCACCTGGCCTCAAAAGTCAGGCACCACCTAACTGTATTTTTTAGGAGTCACTAAATCTAGTCCACATTTAAGGAGAGGTGAATAGGCTCCACCTTTGGAAGGGAGAAGTGTTAAAGAATTTGTGAACACATTTAAAAAGTACCACACCATCTATTGCGTTTTTAATTTCAGTATCATATTTGTAATTTCTAAATGCTTTACTTGGTTCTTTTCCAGTTCCTTAATGTCACTTTTTATAGTTTCTTTTTTATCAGGCATTGCTGTATAATAAACTACTTTCAAAAGTTGGTGGCTTAAAACAACAACTTTTATTTATTTATGTATTTATTTATTTTTGAGAGACAGAGAGAGAGAGTGCATACAAACAGGAAGGGCAGAGAGAGAGGGAGACACAGAATCCAAAGCAGGCTCTAGGCTCTGAGTGGTCAGCACAGAGCCCGACGCAGGGCTTGCTCATGAGGTGTGAGATCATGACCTGAGACAAAATCTGACTCCTAACTGACTGAACCACCCAGGCGCCCCTAAAATCATAACTATTTATTTAGCTCATGATGCTGGTCATCATCTGGGAGGGTCATCATCTGGGGGGACTTCAGTTCTCCACTGGACTCCATTGTGTGTCTCTGGTCAGCTGCGTTGGCTTGGGGCTTTGCTTTTAGGGCTTTGCTGGCTGTTGACTGGGTGTTGTTGCCACCGCCATTTGTTTTATTCTTCACATGTCTTTTATCTTCAGCAAGGTGGCATGGTCTTGTCCTGGGGAAGGCAAGAGTTCAAGAGAGATCAGACAAATGTACCACCTCTTGGCATCGGCAGGTCTTTCCTGCTGCATTCTATTAGCAAAAGTAAATTACAGATTCAACCTGACTAAAGAGAAGGTGAAATAAAATCCACGTCTTGATGGGAAGAGCAGCCAAGTCCTATTGCAAAGGATGTGGATATAGGAAAAGGTAGATAATCGGGCTCATTTTAAAAAATCAATCTGTAACAGCACTCAAGTCAGTCTTAAGGGTTACCTTGCTTCCAGTTTATGCACGCCTTGCTTGCTGACCTAAGTTCCTTGGTCTATAGCAGAACTAACCAAATTTCCTTGAGATTTGCAGACGGTTGACTAACATCTAAAGGGCCATCTTCTCTGTCCAGGAGAAGCCAGGGAGTTTTAAAGGGGAAGGCATGGGAAAAGGGAGAAGGGCAACATGCAGCAGCAGGTGACTAGATGATTGGTCGTATGTCAAAATGATCCTGAATAGACTTGCTGGCATCAGCGGTAGCTGTTTTCAAATGTACTCAGGGCTCATCTTCTGGGAAAGTCTGGTCCTTCACTCCTCAGGGCCAGTGGTCTCTGTCCAGTAACAAATCTACCACAAACATACATAACCTTTTATAGCTAGTATCTGATGCTTTTGCAAATCAGTTTTTCCTGCTTTCTTTGCTCTTTTTTATATATCATTTTTATTTTCTTCTGTGGCCTGGTTATCTTTTGCTGTATGCTGGACATTTTATATGAAAAATATATATCATACTAACTTGAGTTCTGTAATATAGTACTTTCCTCTAAAAGAGATAATACCTTAATTCAATTCAATTTTTCTCTCAGTTTTTAGTAACTATTCATGTACAAAAAGGGATTGCCTGTAATATAAATAACAAGGGAAAGTAAGATGTCTGGCTTCAAAGAAGTTCCCTTCGTTTGTACAGGAAGCAGACCCTGATTCACGCCAGAAATCAGTCCCTCACTAATAGGAGTGATTCACGTTCGAGGTCATTGGCCTAACCTACTGACTGAGCCCTTCTTTAATTATTCCCACAATCTCCACTCTTTCAACGGCATCGTAGTAAGCAAAACTGAACAATTCCTTTTCCCTTACATCTGCCCTATTTCCCTGCCTTGACACAATTCTCTACAACTTAGGATGCACACTTACCCCTAATTAAAGTGAAAGAAAAACCCCAAGGACTCAGCTTAAAAATTCTACTAAATATTTTAGATAACAGATGAAAACGGGCACGGAGAAAGAATACACTTAGAGACGCGCATGCGCAGAGCCGCGGACGTGCAGGAGACTGTGGGCTTGCGCGGGGACGAGGCGGCGCATGCGCGGGGCGACTTGTGGCCAATGCGCAGCACTGGGTCCCTCCTCCTCACGCGGTGGTTGTTACTCGGTAGCTGTCGGGCTCCCGTGAGGGTGATGGATTTTGAGAATCTTTTCTCCAAACCCCCCAACCCGGCTCTGGGTAAAAATCTGTCCACGGACTTAGATGAAAGGTGATTCCTTATCTTTTCGTACTTTGGTCGCAGGGGCTCAGCTGTGTTCCACCTTTTGGAGGCCGCCGGGGCCGCGTGTGGGCCACGCCGCGGGGTCGCGCGGGGAGTGTGTGAGCGAGCGCGTGGGGTTGGCCTGGCAGACGCGAGGGTCGGACGTGAAGAGGTCGTTCCGGGGCGGCGGGGATGAACGCCGGAGATAGGGCTCTGTTGCTAAGCCGCCACGGCTCTGGCCGGGACCCTTCCTGAGGGAAACAGCGGGGTGCTGGCGACGATCCAGGGGGGACCGAGGGAGGCCCCAGGATGCTCCCCTTTCCTTGCGCTCCTGACCCTGTGAACCGGCTTAGAAACCCCATGTGTTCCCAGAGTACTTCTACTTCCACCGGACCGGCAGCTCCTAGGGGACATATCATTTGCCGTTTCTCACTGACACATGCTAAACGCTTATTTTTCTTGTAGAAAAAACCGAAACCCTAAATTCATTAAGCCATCAACGGCGAATAGTTTGCCTTTAGTGCGTTGATTTGCATCAAAAGACCCTAATGAAGACCATAATAAAGCAGCAAACACCTTTGAGATGTAGCATTTCCTTTAGGTTGAGAAACGCAAGGGCACTGCTGGCCAAATGGTGCTAATTTATCTATCTCATTCTTAGAGATGTGTGTAGTGTAGTTTCTTTATACCCAGATACTCATTTACTTTTTTTTTTTTAAATCAGAGTTTGCAAAATGCAAAATGCAAAAAACAACTTATGAGCTTTTAACGTATTTTTCCGTATATATCTAAGCTGAAACTGTAACACATGATCTTTTGTTCTTTTATCTCTCTCGTTAATATATCGTATTCTGGTTGATTTTACCTCCTGATATCGCCCAAATCTGTTCACGTCTCTCATTCTCAAATACCTTAATTAAAACTATTACCTTAATTCAGGCTACCATGAAGAGTTTTATTTAGTGCTGTACATGAAATATGTCATTTAATCTTAACCTTGAAGAAAAGACACTATCCTTGTTTTCGCAGATGAGAAAATTGAGACAGAGAGAGGATAAATAACTTGCCAAGATTGCACAGTGTCAGTGGCAAAACTAGGATTAAGTTATCCAGTCTTAACTCCAGGACCCATGATTTGATTTCATTGCTATGTTTCTAAGGCAAAAGGACTAAAATAAGATCTATAAATACTGAAAAGAGACAAAGACACTAATGAATTGCGGATGGTATGTGCATCATCTACAAAGGAAAACAAGAGGAACCGGTTAATAGACTATTAAAATACATAAGAGAGCTCGGCAAGGTGCATCATTAAACAATAGCTGCATGTAAGAAAACAGTAGCGTCTGTCGATGTGAAAATGTTTTGGATAGAAGATTCTATTCACAAAAACTTAACTACATAAAAGACATTTCTGGATTTTTGCCAAAATGTTAGGTGGAGAATGGTATTGAAGTATGGAGAGCATCTGTGAACTGTTCCTTGTTCGTATCCTTTGCCTGTTTTTCTCTTTGTTGGTCTTTCTCTTTAAAATTTTAGGATTTCTAGTCTGCAGATATTTTACTTCCAACTTGTTATTTGTCTTTTGACTTTGCATATAGCCTTATACGTTTATATATATATATATTGCATATAGCTTTAGTTTCATTGCATAAAGGTTTTTTTGTCTTAAGGAAGGTCAAATGAATTAATCTTTAATGGTTTCTCGTTTTTTTGCTAGTAATTTTATAATGGGGTTATTCATGTGTTGAGCACCTGCCATGTGTGAGACATTAATCCTAGGCCCTGGGACTGTAGCAATAAATAAACAAAAGAGATAAAAGTCTCCATATTCACGAGATTTATATTCTTGGGTCACAGACAGTACTATATCTATATATAGATAGTACTGTATCTATAAATAGATAGTATTTTAGGTGATGATAAATGCAGGGAGAATGTAGATATTTTAAAGAAGATAGTTAAAGCTTCAGTAATATATATCATTGATGAGTAGGGACCTGAACGAGATGAGAAAGATAGATTTCTAGCAGAGAAAATATAAAAATGCATATAAAAGTCCTGAGGTGGAGTGAGCATGGTGTGATTGGGCCATGGGAGCAGAGGGCATAGAAGGACAACTGGAGTAGAGTCAGAATAGCAAGAGTTAAAGAGGTATATGCAATAGGATCAGGGAGGCAGATCATGTAGGGACTTGTAGGTGCCATAAAAATGACTGCCTTTTACCCTGAATGAGATGAAAGGCTATTGGAAAATTTTCAACAGAGTGACATTTTAGCAGGGTCATTCTGGTTGTGTTGAGAGTAGAATGTAACAGGTCAAGAGAAGCTTAGATCATAGTATTAGTAGTAAGAAGTGGCCACATATGGGTATATTTTGACGATAAATGGGATTTTCTAACAAATTGGATGGGGATATGAGAGAGGAATCTACTTGACTTCAAGGTGTTTGGTCAGTATCGTTAGAAGGGAGGAGTTGCTGTTTAACATAGCAAGAAGTTTAGATCAAGAGTTCAGTTTTGTCTCTATTAAAAATATGTGAGGTAGCTATCCAGGTGCATATGTGGAATAGATAGCTGGCTCTGCCTACCTGGGCTCCAGTCTCAGCTCCTTTAGTTAAGTACGTCTGTGGGAAGTTTTATAAGCTTTCTGTAATTCAGTTTTCTCATCTATGAAATGGTCTGTATGTCTTAAGGATGTTGTGATGTGGGTAATATGCATGGAATAGCTTCTGGCACAGGGTAAGCATAATGCAAGTGTTAGCTGCTGCTGCAGTTAATGTTGTTGTAGTCATTACTGCCATTATTGCTTTGTCTCAGAAGAGGCTGCCTCCTACTCCGTGAGACGATTCATTACTGTAACTGGAGCAATGAAGGTTCACAGTGTTTGGCTTATTCGCTCCTGTAATGATGGCTTCTGTAGAAAGCTCACAACTTGGTGTCTTATCTGATAGACGAAATTCTGAGGCTCCGACTAGGGACAGATCAGTGGTAAACTGTTGAATTGGATGAAATTGTGAAGCCTGAGCTCCTCCTGTAACTTTGAAAAAAGTTCAGAGTCACTCTTACATACTTGCACATTCCATTTGTAACACGTTTTTTCCTGAGAATGTACACATTGCCTAGTCTTTACCTTTACCTGGCAATGTAACTCCTATCTTAAGCTTTTGTTCAGTAGTCACTACTTGTGCAGACACAATTGCTTTCAGCCTTCTGTATTTATAGCATAAGCCATTATTTAGCTTTACCTATAAATTTCATTGGCATCTTTGTTCACCAGCTTCTTATATTTCCTATCTGCATCTTTCTTGGGTTCATTTTTAGCTTGGCCAGAATATCCTCAAGTAATGTCTCAGAGGATGTCTCTGCATGTTCAACTTCTCAGTCCTTGCAAGTCTGGAAACAACTTTTCATCTTCCCACTTGACTCTAAGTTAGGCTCTTACCTGACCTTGAAAGACCCTGCATTCTACCTGAAATACTATTCTCCCTTATGTTCCTCTTTGTTTACTAACTTTTTAAAAAAAGTTTATGTGTTTATTTATTTGAAGTAATCTCTACACCCAATGTGGGACTCAAAACTCATGACCCCAAGATCAAGAGTTGCATGATCTTCCAGTTGAGCTAGCCTGGCACCCTTGTTTGCTAATTCTTACATACTTTATAGGCTTAGAAAACCCTTGGCCCCCAAATGTAGTTTAAGTGTTCATCATATATGTACCTATGCTTATCAGACTATATTGAAATTGCTTTATTTTTTTTCTTCCAAGCATATAGAAAGTTCTCAGAAGGTAGGGACAAAGTCTTTTTCACTGTTGTATTCCAGGATTTAAGGCCTATAGCCTGGTATATGGTAGATACTCAGTATTTGTTGAGTGAATGGAATGAGGGATGAATGAATGGGTGATTTCTATCACTGCTAATACTAGAACATGAAGGTTATGTGTGTATTAAAATTTCAGCTTTATAGTTTACTTAAAACCGCATGTTGACATTTAGAGTATTTGGAGTAGAATATGAAGAATTCCTTTGAGGGCAAATAGAAGATAAGCCAAAGCAGTGAATTTTAATGCTGTGGTATGAACCATTTCCAGGTTGAAAAAACCTTCTTGTATTATTTGATATTTTTGCTACAGAATCGATGATGAAATAGATGATACAGAAGTTGAAGAAACACAAGAAGAGAAAATAAAATGGGAAGTAAAACTGGAGTGTGAGCAAATACCCAAAAAAGTAAGATTAAGTTGGCATATCAAAAAACCAGACAGGATTGGGTGTGAGAAATTTATCAGGGGTCCTGTTTGTCTCAGTATAGTCAGCATTTGAGACCTAGTTGCGCGTATCAAGGAAATCTGGTTACACTTCAAAAAACGTATTAAAAAACTTCAGTCATTTAACATGAACTGTTTTAGTGTATTGCTTTTATTTTAGTTTTCTCTGTTTGTGAAATGGGTTGTAATCTGTTTCAACAACTTCTCTTTTCAAATTAGGTCACAATTTTTAAGGGTTTTGATTTGCTAACTTAGCTGACCTTAGTAATTTGCAGCTAAGGCTTGGGTGAATTTGCTAAGACTGCCCTAACAAAGTACCGCCAAGTGGGTGACTTCAATAACAGAAGATTATTGTCCTGTGTCTCTGGAGGCTGGAAATCCGAGATCAGGGTGGTGACAGGGTTGGTTCCTTCTGAGGGATGTGAGGGTTAGTCTGTTTCATGCCCCTCCCATAGCTTCTGGTGGTTTAATGGCAGTCTTTGATGTTCGTTGGCATGACTTCCAGAAGTATCACCTTGAAGTTTACCTTCATATTTGAATTGTGTTCTCCCTGTGTGCATATGTGTGTGTCTAAATGTAATCTTTTTATAAGGACACCAGTCATATTGGATTAGAACCTACTCGTTTTAACCAATTACACATGCGATGGCCCTATTTCCAAATAAGCCCACATTCTAAGATTAAGACTATATCAAGAGAATTTGGAGGAGGGGACCCAAAGAGCCAATATCTGTGCGTCTCTTGCCTCTTTTTCTCTTTTTGAACTTTTTTTTCTTAAAATTTTTAATGTTTATTTTTGAGAGAGAGAGACACATACAACACAAAGAGAGAGGGAGACACAGAATCCAAAGCAGGCTCCAGGCTCTGAGCTGTCCGCACAAAGTCCGATGGGGGTCTCAAACTCAATAACTATGAGATCATGACCTGAGCTGAAGTTGGCCGCTTAACCAGCTGAGCCATCCAGGCACCCCTGAAATTTTCATTGTGAATTTTAACACATTACAAAGAGATAGGTTTGAATTGGGAGTGAGACTCACAAGACACAAATAGTCTTTAATGGGATACTTTGCAGGCTCTGCATTGCCAGTGCAGAGCTGGAGGTGGGCCTTGAACCTGTGAACCACAAGATCATGACCTGAACTGAAATCTAAAGTTGGGCGCTTAACAGACTGAGCCACCCAGGCATCCCTTTAATGTACTGCTTTTATACTTAGCTTTGTAAAAGAATACAAGACAGGTAATATAGCAGATACATCATCTTCATCTTCTCAGCCAGCTTCTCAGCTACCCCAGTTTGTAATTCTTCTGCCCTTTGGGGCATGTATGGTTGCTGTGGACAAGAACCAAGGTCTTGACACTGAGAAACTGTAGCTTGGATTTCCCCCCAATTTTTTATACTGGTTTAGTCACATAGACCCCAGCTCTTCATGCCCACTTAAAGTTCCCTAGTCCATGTATAACCCTATACGGGAGTTAGGCAGATAGAACATTCTACAGTTATCTTAAGTAGATTCCAAGAAACAGTACTGTAAGAAGATGGACACTTGCATTATTCCTAAGTAGGCTTGCTTCAGCCCAGATTCTTTACTCACAAGTGCATGAAGCATAAATGTACAGTATCACAGCTGATTAAAAATAGAACACCCAAGCCAACAATTTGCAAGTCTAGAAAGAAAATTACCTGCAAAGCCTCTGCTGCCTCCTTCCTCTGTCATAACCCCTTGTTTCTTCCTAGAAGTAACTAGAGAACTAACTTGCATGCTAATCACTTCCTTGCTTTTCTTTACAGTTACTGTTTTACTACTGGTGCTGTCATCCTTAAAGAACACAGATTTTTCTTGCCTGATTTTACACTTTATAGAAATAGGATAGTGGATTTTTTTTTTTCTTTTAAAGGTGATTTTAAGTTTGTTTATTTAAAGAGAGAAAGAGAGCTTGAGTGTGCATGCGGAGCGGAGGGAAGGGGCAGAGATAGAGAATACCAAGCAGGCTCTGTGCTATCAGTGTGGAGCCCGACATGGGGTTCAAACTCAGGAACTGTGAGATCATGAGCTGAGCCCAAATCAAGAGTCGGATGCCTAATAACTGAGCCACTCAGACGCCCCTGTATGTGTTCTTTTCTATCTTTATCTCAACATTGTATTTATAAGATTCATAGATGCTGTGGTGTATACTTGTTTATTTTCTTAGCTTCATCGTATTCCATTATTGAATATACTAGATTTCATTGTTGGTAGAGGTTATAGGTTATAGGAGATTATAGGCAGTGCTACTACATTCTTTACCTTGTATCCTGTTGCACATGTACTCTGCACATGTAGAAATGTTAGGTCTTAGAGTGTAAGCATCTGTTCCTTTACCTTAATGCCAAACTGTATTCCCAAGTGGTTTTACCAGTTTTTATTCCCAGAGGTAGTGTATGAAAGACTGTATTTCTACTGCTCCATATGTGATATTGTTATCATATTTTTTATCACCTGGTGAAGTTTCTCATTGTAATTTAGTTTACATTTTCTTAATTACTATTGGGATTGAGCATCTCTTTGTATGTTTATCCATTTGGGTTTCCTTTTTTTTGGGTGCCTATTCAAGTCTTTTTGTCTTACTATTACTGGTTTGTCTGTGATTTTTTTTTTTTCTTGATTTCTAGTTCTTTAGTTTGGGTTATCAGGGGTTCCCACCTCCCTTTATTGTGGATTATCTGTTGCAATTATCTGCTTATATTGTGGCTTTACAGGATGGTATTTTTTTGGTTAAAAGTTTATATTTTAATGTATTCAAATTTATTCTTTATAATTAGTGTTTTATGTGTTTTATTTAAATATCCTGAGATAATAAAAATATTTTTCTGTAGTCTCTTCTAAAAGATTTATTGTTTTGCTTGTCACAAAAGTTTATAGTCACCCATAACTGATTTTTGTATCTGTATACCTCTATGAGGTAGAGGCAATAAATTTTTTTCCTTTTTTTTTTTTTCTTGTTACCATACTAAGTTGTTCCAACCATTCACTGAAGGAAAAGAATGGTCTTTTCCTCCACTGGTCTGCAGTGTCACCATTTTCAAAAATCAAAATGTTCGTGTTTGAGTGGGTTTGTTTCTCAATTCTTTTCTGCTGGTTTATCTGTCTAGCCCTCCCCCAAGAGCTCACCATGTTAATTACTGCAGCTTTATAATGAGTTTAGACATCAGGTAAACAAGTCCTCTCACCTTATTTTTCTTCTTTAAGTGTCTTGGCTTTTCTTAGCCTTTTGCATTTCTATATAAACTTTAAAATTAGTTTGTCAGGTTCCATGGAAAATTCTGGTGGGCTTTTCATTGGGAATAGTTAATCTGTAGATCATTTGGGAGAGAATATTGAATTGTCTAATCTTTAGATCCTTTTTAATTTCTCTCAATAGTATTTGATAGTTTTCCTTGTAGATATCTCACATAACTTCTGTTACGTTTATTGTTAGATGTTTGATGAGGCTATTATAAATTACGTCTTTTTTAAGCATCATTTTCTAACTCTTAGTTTCTCATAATTTATTAAAGCGTTCTTTCTTGTTCTTTGTTTTGATGTTATAGCTTTTTAGCATTTTTTAAATAGATAATGTCTCGAATGACTTTTTTTTTTTATTTTAAAAAAAAAATTTTTTTTTTAATGTTTTATTTATTTCTAGGAGAGAGAGAGAGACAGCGTGAGCAGGGGAGGGTCAGAGAGAGAGGGAGTCACAGACTGAAACTGGCTCCAGGCTCTGAGCTGGCAGTCAGCACAGAGCCCGACGCGGGGCTCGAACCCACAAACCTTGAGATCATGACCTAAGCGAAAGTCGGACGCTTAACTGACTAAGCCACCCAGGCGCCCCATGTCTCGAATGACTTTATGGTCTCTCCTTTTTTAATGTTTTATTTATTTCTGAGAGAGAGAGAGAGAGGCAGCGTGAGCAGGGGAGGGTTAGAGAGAGAGGGAGACACAGAATCTGAAGCAGCCTCCAGGCTTTGAGCTAGCTGTCAGCACAGAGCCCAATGCAGGGCTCGAACCCACGAACCATTAGATCATGACCTGAGCTGAAGTTGGAAGCTTAACCAACTAAGCCATCCAGGCCCCTGTGTCTTTATGGTCTCTTTTGCAACTATTCAACTCTGCTATTGTAATTTGAAAGCATCTAGTATAATATGTAAATGAATGAGTGTGGCTGTGTTCCATTAAACTTTATTTATGGGTGCTGAAACTTGAATTTTATATAATTTTTATTGTCATGAGATATTCTTTTGATTTTTTTTCTTCAACCATTTGAAAAATATAAAGACCATCTTAGTTTGGTGAATGTTACAGAAATATGACAAGATGAATTTGGCCCTGGGATCATAGTTTAATGACACCTGCTCTGGATTTTTGTCCTATGTTTTGTGTTCCTTCATTGTCCCTTGATTTAAGAAAGGCCTGGAGAGTTGATGGATGGCCTTCACTGGTGTGTTGTTGGGCTTGTGTCTCTATAGGCCTTTTCTCCAGATGGGAAGCCTGATTGGAAATTCTGTACATGAGTGGACTGTGTGGATAGGTGGGTTTCCTGCAGCATAGTAGTTCTTAACCTTCTTTGTGCTGTGCATCCCTTTCGTCAGTCTGGTGAAACCCTTGGGCCCCTTCTCAGAATAATGTTTTTAAGTGAATAAAATAGAATATGTTGGATTACGAAGGAAATTTATTTTATTGAAATATAGTAATCAAAATAAAACAAATGTGGAAAGAGTAAATATGTTCTTCATTAATGCACTAAATAATAAGGTTCAGCAGTAGGTCTAATTATTGTAACTTTGACATAGAGATGTGTGTAAAAGATATTTTGAGATTTGCAGCAACTATAATGTGATATATGAAAGTACTTACAATTCTATTAGTGATAGTTGCTGGTACTGCTGATACTACTATTGTTTGTTGACCTGTGTTTCACAACAGGAAAATGCTAAATATCAATTTAAAGGTTGATGATGCAAATAATGTGTGATTTTTATTCCCATTCAAGTTCATTAAATTGTGCCCATAGACCCCAGTGGCAGATCTCTTCTGGGGGAAGATAGAAAGAGATAGTGGGGTAGAACTCCTGTTGTAGGTTGAGTAGATGAAGTCAGTTTCTGGTGGGGGTTGCTCTCAAGTGCCAGAATGTGGAGGACTTCATCCTGGGGTCTTAGTACACAGGTAACAAGACTTGGCTTTTATCAGACATTTTATTCAATTTCTTTATTCTCTTTTTTGCCCAGGGTAAATTTCTGTTTGTATGTGTTCTGGTGAGGGGTAAGGTAGAGAGAATTTGTTGACAATAGCTTTGTCTGTTTTTATGTAGAATTTTAATTCATCCTCTTTTATAGCCCCATTTCTCACACACCAACCTAAGCCCAACCTCCCAATTATGACTTGCTTTTTGTTTTTCAAATATTTGCCAGTAATTTGTTACACTTTTTTTCAATTACTGATAAATGTACTTCATTTCTCCCTACCCCCACTAATATTATGGAACTGTTTTTACATTTCTGTACTATTTCTGTGGATTCTCGGGAGGCCATAATAGTTCAGTAAATCATCCTGAATACAAAATCTTCTGCTTAAAAAAATTTTTATTTAGACTCTTTCATTAAAGGGAAAAAAGTTACATATTATGTTTATATATTTTCTGAATTACATAGAAAACAACAAATATCAAAACGAGTTTATAGCTAGCTGCATGAAGAAAAGTATTAAAGCAATCATTTGTCTTTTGTGGATTTCACTGCTCTCTAAAAATAATCATATCCATTAGTAATGCTCATCTCTAATGTATAATAAAACAACATAATTGATGATCTTCCTGGTTATATTCATGTTGCCAAGTCATCTCATCTCTTCACTTAATACAAATAAATCAGATGTATTATTACCTTTTAAAAGGGGTCTGCTTTGGTGCATGTTTTATGTGTGAGGGAGCACTTAATTACTCATTTGGATCACTGTGATATTTTGATTCAGGTACGCTGAATAGAATTTCCTCTCTATGTGTTTGACTTAAACTTCATGGAGCTGTTGCATAATTGAATGGTTCTCCCTGTGCCCACTAAATAAAAGGCTAAAACCAAGGTAAACATCACAGAAATTGGCCAGCTTTTTCATAAAGGAACAGATAGTACATCATTTTGACTTTGTGAGCCATGTTGTCTCTGTCACAACTAAACAGCCATAGGTAGCACAGAAGTGAGTGAATGGGTGTGATTGTGTTCCAGCAAAACTTCATTTACAAAAACAAGACGCCAGGTGGACATCTGGCAAACCCTGACCAGAAGAAAAGTTTACAGGTTTGTTCTATGGTTTTAGTTTTAAAAGGTGCTCTTTCTTGAAAACTTGGAGACCAGGAACTTGGTGGCTTGATGATTGTTGGATTGGTTAGTAGTCTTGTCTGGTGTAATGAAGATGAGGTGTACATTGAAGCCACTGTCAGGTTAGGAAACTTTCTCCACTTGTTCGGATTCTTCAGACAGGGAGCAAATTCATTTTCTTCTTTTTTTTTAAAAAAATTTTATTTATTTTTGAGACAGAGACAGAGCATGAGTGGGGGAGGGACAGAGAGAAGGAGACACAGAATCTGAAACAGGCTCCAGGCTCTGAACTGCCCGCACAGAACCTGATGTGGGACTTGAACCCACGAACCATGAGATCATGACCTGAGCCGAAGTCAGACACTTAACCAACTGAACCACCCAAGCACCCTGAGCAAATTCATTTTCTAAGCCTACGATAAATCCTCTGGTGGTACGACTCTTGGCTTTGAGGTTAACCATCAAATGTAAACTATTAAATTTGACCACATGTTTTATAATAGAGATTTTTCTGGTTTGTTTTGATTCTGCTGCTTTGATCAGTTATGAGAAAGTAGTTACCTACTTTGAGACCAGCCCCCAAAGTATGCTCTGGAGTAGGACCATTGGCCAATTTAATGGTAGATGTGTCATCTTTTCTTGGTATCAAAATAGGAGATCTTTGATACTTGAACTTTTTAAAATAAACTTTAATTAAAATATTACCGTATGCACTAACTATAATTATACAACTTGATACACATGTGTTATCAAGTATAAATACCTATGTAATTAGTTCTTGAGAATTCTTGTACTTTAATTCATGGTACTTTAAGTTGTCTGCTGTGATCATCTCAGGCTGACCCAGGGTCAGCTGCCTTACCTGGCTTGCTCTTCCAATGGGTGCCTGTGTTTGCATTTTTTGCCTTGGGGCAACTGCAACAACAGTGTTAGAAAACTATTTCTGAAAGTAAAGTAAACTTGATTACAGTGAACAGGACCGTTTCTTCCTTGCTGTCTGTGTTGCCACTTTCTCCGCCACCAATGCTATGAGTTACAGGGAAAAGAATGGACTTTGCTAGCATCAGTATAGAATAGAGTTTCTCTTGGGTCATAACAGTTTACTTGTTCTTTTATGAAATGATGAGTTACTGAAATAAACCATTTAAAAGGATGCAAAGAGAGAAATAAAATATGAATTATAATACTATAATTCAATCAACTAAATTACATCATAGGTAAGATTTGGGGGTTTAGTCTTTTAATTCAGTAGTACATCCAGTGTACAAATTCAGAATCTTCTGTCAAATTTTTTTCAAGGACAATATGTTGTGCTGAGTTTTTTTGTTTTTTTTTTTTTAATTTGGGAAATTTTTAAATATGTAAGAGTGGAAAGAATAGTATACGAACCCCCATACACCTATCACCCAACTTCAACGATAATCAGTTCATGGCTGGTTTTTATTTCTTCTCTATAACCAGATTGTGTTGAATCATGCTAGGTTTTTAAAATTGAAAATTTAATTTTTACTTAGTTTAGGCACTTGGGGAACACTACAGCATCACCGAAGAAATTACTACATAGAAAATCAAGAAGTAAGGACTATGATGTATATAGTGATAATGATACCTGCAGTCAGGAATCAGAAGATACTTTTGCTAAAGAGCTTCAGCAGTATATACAAGCTAAAGAAATGGCAAATGCTGCTCAATCCTTATCATTTCCTGAAGAATCGAAGAAAGAGGGAGTGAAGGACACCCAGAAAGGTATGGGTGAGCCTATTTTGTCATTTACTGTTTATCTAGAGAATCAATCACAGTTGTCCATATACTGACTGGGGTTTGGGGAGGTGGGAATTTTCTCTTGCATTTTATTGCATAGTAAGATCATGCTTTCCATAGATCTTTTTTTTTTTTTTAGTTTATTTATTTAATTTGCAAGGGGGAGGGGCAGAGAGAGAGGAGAGAGAATTCTGTGCTATAAGTATAGAGCCTGACTTGGGGCTCCACCTCATGAACTGTGAGATCATAACCTGAGCCAAAATTAAGAGTCAAATGCTTAACTGACTGAACTACCCTGGCGTCCCTCCATGGATCTTTACACCAGATGTGAGCTTGCATGGCCTGAGACCCCCCTGAGACCTGGCTGTTTGGTATACAAATGCTTAGTTTACAGGAGGAAAGTGCAGGAGGGTTATCACAAGCCATGACTACTTTGAAAGGGAGAATGCTAAATTCTTTGCCTCTGCATACATGAAGGACAAGATGTGCCTTTTTGTATTGCTGTGTTCTAGGGAGGAATTGACTTCATGTTTCATATAGTGGTATGCCAGACTAAACTTAGAAATAGTAAATATTCTTTTAGATTAGTAAAATAAAATTTAGTCATAGAATAGGAGGACAAATGACCATTGTAAATGAAATTGATCCTCTTATTTTACTGTTTTTTTTCTCTTTAAATGTTTTTCTGTTTAAACTGGGTCTATGGATAAATTTAATCTATATTAAATGATTTTTTTAAATCTGTTTTTATTTTTATTGTAAATTAAATTCTCTGCCCAATGTGGGGATCTAGCTTACAACCCCAAGATCTAGAGTTGGATCCTTTAACACCTAAGCCAGCCAGGCACCCATATATGAAATGTTTTCAGTGGAAATTCTGACAGTAGTATATGATGTCATTTTAAACATTTGAAGGTTTTGCTTTTTTTAAAATTCTTTTTCTAATGTTTTATTTATTTCTGAGAGAGAGAGAGAGACAGCGTGAGCAGAGGAGGGTCCAGGAGAGAGGGAGACACAGAATTGGAAGCAGGCTCCAGGCTCTGAGCTGGCTTGAACACAGAGCCTGATGCGGGGCTCGAACGCATGAACCGTGAGATTATGACCTGAGCCAAAGTCAGACGCTTAACTAACTGAGCCACCCAGGTGCCCCTTGAAGGTTTTGCTTTTATAATGCTATGGCAACTCCTAATTAGCTCCATTATACTCTGAACACTTCAAAAGGATCTGGCTTGTGGCAAGCAAGATTGATTTCATTAATTATCTTGCTTTTTTTCTTCTGGAACATACCTTATCTATTTTTATTAAATTTATTTATTTTGAGAGAGACAGAGCATGAATAGGGGAAGGGCAGAGAAAGAGGGAAAGGGTGAGAGAGAGGGAGACAGAGAATCCCAAGCAGGCTCTGCACCATCAGCGCACAGCCTGATGTGAGGCTCGAATTCACGAAACCGCAAGAACATGACCTGAGCCAAAACTGAGGGCTGGATGCTTAACCGACTGAGCCACTCAGGCTCTTCTACCTTATCTATTTTCATAAAGAATGAATTGGGGATCCAGAATATAGTAATTCTCCTTTTGGTTTCTTAATCCCAGAGATTCTGGAAAGACAGGTGAGCATCATACCACTTTTTACTCAGTGAGCAGTGGAGAACTCCTCCTGGATTATTATAGAATGTACTTAAAAAAATTTTTTTTAATGTTTACTTATTTTTTTTTTAATTTTCTTTTTTTTTAATGTTTATTTATTTTTGAGACAGACAGAGCATGAGTGCAGGGGGTGGGAGTGGGCAGAGAGAGATGGAGAGACAGAATTCCAAGCAGGCTCCAGTCCCTGAGCTGTCAGCACAGAGCCTGATGTGGGGTTCGAACTCATGAGCTGTGAGATCATGACCTGAGCCAAAGTCAGACGCTTAACCAACTGAGCCACCCAGGTGCCCCCAATGTTTACTTATTTTTGAGGGAGAGAGACAGAATGCGAGTGAGGGAGGGACAGAGAGAGAGGGAGACACAGAATCTGAAGCAGGCTCCAGGCTTTGAAGTGTCAGCACAGAGTCCTATGCTGGGCTTGAACACACTAACTGTGAGATCATGACCTGAGCCAAAGTCGGATGCTTAACCCGACTGAGCCACCCAGGCGCCCCATAGAATGCATTTTTTTTTAATGTTTATTTTATTTATTTTTGAGAGTGAGAGAGAGACAGGATCCAAAGCAGGCTCTGAGCTGCCAACGCACAACCCAATGTGGGGCTCAAACTCACATATTGTGAAATCATGATCCAAGCTAAGTAGAACACTCAACCGATTGAGCCACCCAGGTGCCCAGAATGTACTTCTTTATTTTATTTTTTTATTAAAAAAATTTTTTTTTAATGTTTTACTTATTTCTGAGAGAGAGAGACAGTGTGAGCAGAGGAGGGTCAGAGAGAGGGGGAGGCACAGAATCCGAAGCAGGCTCCAAGCTCTGAGCTAGCTGTCAGCACGGAGCTTGATGCGGGGCTCGAACCCACGAACTGTGAGATCATGACCTGAGCCGAAGTCGGACGCTCAACTGACTGAGCCACACAGGCACCCCCAGAATGTACTTCTTAAGAGTAAACTGACAGCGCCTGGGTGGCTCAGTCAGTTAAGTGTCTAACTTTGGCTCAGGTCATGATCTCACAGTTTGTGAGTTAGAGCCCCGTGTCGGGCTCTGAGCTGACATTTTAAAAAATTAAAAAAGAGTAAATTGCCATTGTACTTTTATGTCATCATAAATTAAAATTAAACTTTTAACATTTAATGTTTAAGATTTAAACAAAATTAACTCTTTTTTCTATTTAGCTGTTAAGCAAAAAAATAAAAACCTTAAAGCTGTAAAGAAAAATGGTAAACAGAAGAAAATGAAACGAAAATGGCCCGGCACTGGACACAAAGGATCCAATGCTTCACTGAAGAACGGTGGCGCACAGGAGCAGGTACAAGAGTGTAGGCATGTGGGAGGGCACCTACGTGCTGCAGGATACGGATCTTGTACCTCAGTGGCAAGCCACAAAATGAGGGCTCTCTGACGGTGAAAAATCTCCTCTCACCGTTAGTGGGATCTCCACATTCTTCCTTGTCACTGTTGCTGCTCCTTCCCTCTCCCTCATTCGCTGCGAGCACTTGTGTTAAGCATTGGCACTGAACCTGTTTACCTTAACACATGCACACAAGTCCCTTGATGTTGCAGTGTTGTACTGCCAGTGGCTGGAAAAGCAGGAGAGGCAAGGCTGAGGTAAAGTAGCCAAGACAACACTTCAAGTGTCACAGAGTCTTACAGGGTTGCTACTGTTGCAGTTCCTGGTCTCTCAGTACTTGACGCCCCCTTGAAATTAAAAATGAATATTTCTGAGCATTGGCTTACAAAACACCCCTTACCTGTGTGGTATTTTGATTTTGCTGTATAGAAGTTCCTCTTCCTTGGTCTGCAGATGGAATCAGGATAGAGCAGTAAGCGACTCCTCTGGACTCTGCTTTTCTGAGGTGTTTTAAACTAACCTTTTGTTGTTAGACTTGGTCCAGAAGACAAGTGTTAGGGGTGGTAAAATATTAGGAATATCAAATATTATAGGTTGAAACATTTATATAGGATTCCATATTTTACAAATGAGGAATCTGAAGCCCTGGGGGTTCTGGTATCTGCTCAGTCACACAGGGCCAGGTCATACCTAGAACTATATCCCCTGACCCTGTTGGAATTCCCTTCATTTGGGTTATACGGACTCAAATGATTATTCAGCTAATGCTGACAGTTCTTCTACGAGTAACAAACTGTAAACCTGTGTGTTAGAATTTAATAACATAGTCAAATAAAACCAAAGATTTAAACTGACACATATTAGATACATAATTTTGATGGCTTTAAGTGGAAACTTGAGGTTATTACAAAGCAGATCACATACATGTAGTCAGGTCTCTTCTTTGCATATATTTAATTACTAAAAATGTTCAGAAATTTGCTCGACAGACATTGTGTGTAACCACAGGTTAACATGCTAAAATGGTTTATGTTTCTAAAGAGCTAAAATGTATTATGAAATTCCGTTTTTGTTTTTATATAAAAGTCATCTTTTGTTTTTATATCTCTGTTGCAATCTTCAAGGTTATAGTTGTTAACTAGAACTGGTTATTATTCTCTGCTCTCACCCAGTGAGCATCTCATTGAACTTGAAGAGTATAATGCTTTTGGTTTGCCTTACGGTCTCCAGTTTTGTCTCTGTTGTTCTAAAGAGCCTTATTCCTAGACTTCGTTTTTTATCAGAAGTGGTAGCATTTTCGTTTTTAAAAATTGTTTATTCAATTTTTAAAAATGAGGGCAAAGTACAATATAATAATTCAGATTGAACAAACACTTATATACAGTGCTGGAATTCTGTTGTCATTGGCAGAACATTTATTTTTTAACTGATGTACAGAAGTCCAAAACTTACACATGTAGGCCAACTTAGAAGAGTTACTTTTTAATGTTTTAAAGGTAGTCAGAATGATTTTGTACAATGGGATAAAATATTTAAATTTACATTTCTCACATTTACTTCTTTGTTTTTGTTTTTGTTCTCAAAGGATGGTAAACCAAAAGAGAAGCAGCAGACTGTGAGGATGAGTCAGGGATTCATCAACCAACATACAGTGGAACGCAAGGGGAAACAAATTTGTAAATATTTTCTTGAAAGGAAATGTATTAAGGTATAAAAACTGCATAAGCTTTAAAAATATACTAAAATGTAAGGTATAACAAAAATGTGCAAGAGCCAACTCCATTTTCCATTGTATACTCTAAAAGGATGCTTGTACATTTTATAACTATTTCCTTCTGGAAAAGGTTCAGTTAGAAGACTTTACTGAAGTATTATTTTATGTTTAAGAAAGATACTTTTTAGGGGCACCTGGGTGGCTCCGTCAGTTAAGCTGCTGATGCTTGATCTTGGCTCAGTTCATGATCTCACAGTTCATGGGATTGAGCCCCAGTGGCAGGGTCTGTGCTGGCAGCGTGGAGGGGTTCTCTCTCTCCCTCTCTTTCTGCCCCTCTCCTGCTCATGTGCAGGCTCTCTCAAAATAAGTAAATAAGCATTTTTTTAAAAAAAGAAGCTTTTAAAAAATACTTTGTTTTAAAAACGTTTAGGACGTAGTGAGATTTTAAGCAGATCTGTGTGGAGTGGTTATAAGATAGCTCATTAAGAATTAGACTGTAGGGGCATCTGGGTGGCTCAGTTGGTTAAGTGCCCAACTTTGGCTCAGGTCATGATTTCACAGTTTGTGGGTTCGAGCCCCATGTTGGGCTCTGTGCTGACAGCTCAGAGCTTGGAACCTGCTTCGGATTTTTTGTCTTCCTCCCCCTGCTCGTCCCCTACTCGTGTTCTGTCTGTCTCTGTCTCTCTCTCAAAAATAAATAAACATTAAAAAATAAATAAAAGAATTAGACTATAGTGCTTCTAAGATTTTTTTCTGGAATCAATTGCTTATTTTAAGATTAGTAGGAACTGAATGACTGAACTGAGAAATAATGGCTTTTCCTTGTTTTTTCCTTTGGCCCAGGGAGACCAGTGTAAATTTGATCATGATGCAGAGATAGAGAAGAAAAAGGAAATGTGTAAGTTTTATGTACAAGGCTATTGTACCAGAGGTGAAAACTGTCTGTATTTGCATAATATCCTTTATCACAAGATACAATAACTTACTTTTTATAAATATTTACATGAACATTTTATTTATTTTTTTTACATGAACATTTTAAATGTTTAATTTTGAATGAAACCTGTGTTTTAGCTATGGCAGAATTATGTTATCCAAGCCCAAATCAGTATCAAAGTGGTTAAACTGTATAGATTTTTTTTTCCCAAGAAAGAAAAGATGGATTCTCTCTCTAGTAATTCTCTCAAATGAAGATTCTTCACTTGGATAGCATAGCAGCAGGTTCATGAAACCCATTCAACCCCCGGAAAGACTCAGAATTTCTGCTGTGACTTTAACTAATTATATCTAGATTCATATAGATATGTCTGTATGAATATGTGTATATGTATATATACACACACACAGACACACATACAACTACTTTGTTACTATTTTTTTTTAATGACTTTCTATTTAAGTAATCTCTATTCTCCATGTGGGACTTGAATTTACAACCCTGAGATCAAGAGTAACGTGCTCTACAAATTATGCAGTTAAGGTAATGCAGTTTTTTAAAGCAAACCCTTTGAAAATATGCGGTATACTTTGTGATCACTTCAGAATAAATTATGAGTGTTTTGAAAAAAAAAAAAAAAAAGAGTAACATGCTCTACCAACTAAGCCAGCTAAGCACCCTCATATGAGTTACTTTGTTTAAATAAAGGGGGGGGGGGAGCAGGAATTACATCATTTAGGAGTACTTGTTTTTTGTATAATCTTTACTGACTTGTCCCTTAATTTGGAGAATAACCTTAACTCTTCAATACAGATGGTACAGACATGTTGTGAAAACATGGAACATAAACATTTTATGGTACAGCACCTTTGGGTACTACAAAAGTTGTTTTCCTGCAGTCATGCAATACATGGAATCTCAAATACAAACTTGAGTTTTTTTTCTAGAAAACAACATTGAAGTTATTTAAACTGATTCTGTTTGAAATAAACCTAACTTATGAAGGATCCAGATTTGTAAAATCTATCATCACCATTGACCTTACTGCTTCCACCCCAAAAGAATGCCTTAAAAATAATCACACTTCTGGGGTGCTGGGGTGCCTGGGTGGCTCAGTTGGTTAGGCATCCAACTTCAGCTCAGGTTATGATCTCACAGTTCAAGCCCCACATCAGGCTTTCTGCTGAACCTGCTTCACATCCTCTGTCCCCTTCTCTCTCTGCCCCTCTCCTGCTCACTCTCTCTCTTTCTCAAAAAAAAAAAAAAAAAAAAACTTTAAAAGAATTTATAAAAAATTGATAATCACATTTCTTAAAGTATTTAAAATATACAAACTTTTCTTATGTCATTGAAACAGACCTATAATTTATAAAAATGGATGTGAAGGAAAAGTTTCATGTGATAGCCAATAAGCTTGATTTATTATAATTATCCTAAAATTAGATATTTCATATAATTCAATTAATAACTTATTAGCTCTATTCTAAATAGAGAATTTAGTGTTTCTACTAGGAGGAAAGGCCTTTATATAGGGAAAATAAAGTTAATAAATCACTAACACATTATTTTAGTTGTATTAAAATTGTTCTCTTCCTTAACATTTGGGTTACATGAATATCCTTGCAAGTTTTATCATACAGGAACAAAATGTTATCAGGGTGACTATTGCAAGTTTTCACATGCTCCACTGACTCCTGAAACACAAGAATTGTTGGCCAAAGTAAGTACAACTTTAATTTTTTTTTTTTTTTCTTTTAAGAATATGTTTGAACTAAGGGTGAGAATTTGGAAACATACTGTTCTTCAAAGAGAATCCCTCATAGGTTACCATATGGGATATATTAGGACTGACAATCTTAGAATTTAATTCCATTTAGAAAATTATTTATTTGTGGGGCGCCTGGGTGGCTCAGTCGGTTAAGCTTCTGACTTCGGCTCAGGTCATGATCTCACAGCTCGCGGGCTCAGGGCCCGCATCGGGCTCTGTGCTGATAGCTAAGAGCCTGCAGCCTCTTTTTGATTCTGTGTTTCCCTGTCTCTCTCACTCTGCCCTTCTTGCATTCACGATCTCTCTCTCTCAAAAATAAATACAACATAAAAAATTTTTTTTAAAAAAAAGGGGTGCCTGGGTGGCTCAGTTGGCTGGGCATCCGACTTCGGCTCAAGTCATGATCTCACGGTCCGTGGGTTCAAGCCCCGCGTCAGGCTTGTGCTGACAGCAAGCTTACAGCCTGGAGCCTGCTTAGGATTCTGTGTCTCCCTCTCTCTCTGACCCTCCCCTGCTTACGTTGTCTCTCACTCTCTCAGAAATAAATTAAAAAATTAAAAAAATTTTTGTTTTAATATTTAAAAAAGAAAATTATTTATTTGTATATATATATTTTTGTAGCTTAAAGGAAAATGTATATTTATTGCTAGTAATTATACTCATGCAAGCAATAAGTATAAATTGGAATGTTCTTAAAACTTTCAAAGTAGTTAGTAACCTTAGTAGCAAAGCTAATCAAAGGGAAACAAAGCAAATAGGGGAACTAATACTCCTGTTATACTCTTAGAAAGCAAGCTAAGAATTATTGGATGATAAATATTTTAGTTATGTCAAAGCATCCATCAGTAGTTATTTCAAAGTTTTCTTCAAATATTTTTTCAGTTAATGAGGAAAGATAATTGAAAAAATAGTCATTTATGTGACTCCATATGTTAGTTGGAGTCAATGTCTTCAAGTTAAATTGAAATATAAGCGAAAATGAAAGATTCTTCTAGAACCAAGCTATACCATCTTGTAGCAGAAGTTCTCTTTGAGTATGTGCAAATATTAGAAAGTCAAAAGTGCTTATTTCTGGATGTTTTTATGTTGTAAAATATGAAGGCGTACCCTGGAATTAAAAGTCAATTAAGGGGGCGCCTGGGTGGCTTAGTCGGTTAAGCGTCCGACTTTCGCTTAGGTCATGATCTCGCGGTTCGTGGGTTCGGGCCCCGCGTCCGGCTCTGTGCTGACTGCCAGCTCAGAGCCTGGAGCCTGTTTCAGAGTCTGTGTCTCCCTCTCTCTCTGACCCTCCCCTGCTCATGCTGTCTCTCTATCTCTGCTAGAAATAAAAAAAAAAATATTTAAAAAAAAAAAAAAAAAAAAGTCAATTAAGTACCCTACTTAATTTTGTCTCAGGTCATGATCTCATGGTTCCTGAGTACAAGCCCTGCATCAGAATCTGTGCTGATGGCACAGAGTCTGCTTGGGATTCTCTCTTTCCCTCTCTCTCCTGCTCACATGTGCACGTTCTCTCTCTCTGTCTCTGTCTCTCTCAAAATAAATAAACTTTAAAAAAAGTCATACCAAATATTTTGTTATTAGTATGAAATACAAATGGGAAAAAGATAGATGTAAAAGTTATCTTTCAGTTGTTCTTAAACTAAGTATTAGGTGATTACTAGGATAAATAGTATTGGAATCATTAGAAAATTACAAGAGCATTATGACGTACCTGAATTTGATATTGATGGATAAAAATGTGTGATTTTTTTCATATTAGGTTTTGGATACTGAAAAGAAGTCATCATGAAAATAAAAGGCATGGAAAAGGTAAAATTAGAATTTAGCACATTTCTTTTTATTTCTCTGAAACACCTCTAGAAATTGGCATGAAAACATAGGACTTTTCCGTTTTCTAGAATAGAAATCTCTTTCTTTCTCCTCCCCTGCTAAAAAATTATAAAATATTTGTTAACATATACATAAATATATATCTCCATCTCCTTGGACCTGCTTCCCTCTCTTTGTTACTATCTTTTGTATTTCTTTCTTCCCTTTTGTTTCTATGTAGATTTACCAAGGTATATGATTCACTAAATAGCATATTTAGTTTTGCTTGTATTTGGGTTTTATTTAAACAGTTTGGGTTTTTTTTTAAGGCTTATTTATTTTGAGAGAGAGCGCGAGCACAAGAGCAACCATGTGGGGAGGGGCAGAGAGAGGAGAGAGAGAGAATCCCAAGCAGGCTCTGGGTTGTCAGCACAGAGCCTGACGGGCTCAATCTCATGAACTCTGAGATCGTGTCCTGAACCGAAATCAAGAGTTGGATGCTTAACCTACTGAGCTACCGAGGCTCCCCACCAGTTTGGATTTTTTTTTAAACAATAAATATTCTGTGTATTTATTGGTTTCTTGGTATTTTCACTCAACATTATGCTTTTACGATTCATTCATGTAGATCCACATAGCTCTTATTCATTAATTTATACTTTTATATAGCATTTCATTCTGTAAATATGTTAACATTTATTGGCATTCTACTACTGATAGACATTTAGGTTATTTTCAATATTTTAAATATAAAGTGTTGCTAATAGTATATAATAAATAATTTAATATAAATGTTTTTTGACATAAATATGTGTGAGTTATCCTGGATATAAGCCAAGGAGTAGAATTGTATCATCTTAAAATTTTAAAATAATACTAATCTTGTCCAAAGTAGTTAAAATGTTTATATTCCCATTGACTGTGTAAAAGAATTCCTTTTGCTCTATACTTGCCAATACTTTGTATTGTCAAGACTTTAATTTTTTTTTTTTTTACCAGTTTATTGGGCATAAAAGTGATGTCACATAGCTTTATTTTCCTGAAGTTCAGAATCTTCTTATGCTTGCTAGCTTTTTAGTTTCATCTTTGGTGAAATGCCTGTTAGTGTTTTTTTGCTTACATTTCTGTTGGACTGACTGTCCTTTATAAATTGATTTTACATACTCCTGATGTAATCCTTTGTGAGGTATGTGTGGCAGGTCTTCTCCCACTTTGTAAGCTGTCTTTTCACTTTTTCTGAGGTGCCTTTGTGAGCAGAATTGCTTATTTTGGCCATCTTTTTAAGTTTTGGGGTTTTGCTTTTTACATTATTTTTTACTCCATTGGAAAAGGTATCTGATAACAGTTGCTACCTTAATGGTGTTAACCACAATCTTCTCAGCATGTAAAAATAAACATTTCTTTTTTTCTCTGCGTCTGCAGATTGGCTGGGAATAGGCTGATCTAGGCTGGCCTTGGCTGGCTTGGCTCTGCTTCTTAAAGCAGGTTGACTAGGTTAGTTCTGGCCCATGTTTGTCTCAGTCTCCTCCTGGGACCAGTGGGCTAGCTAGGATGTGTTCTTCTCATGGCCTTGGCAGAATCTCAAGGCTGTTTGCATCACATTTACACACAACCCATTGGCCAGAGTAAGATACATAGCCAAGCCTGAAGTTGGAAAGTTCGGGAAGTACACCCTACTTGTAGTTTCCATGTGGGAGGAGCTGCTAAATTACATGAAAAAGAGAGTGGCTGTGGCTAGCGGGAGATGAGAAGAATTAAAACTGTTTCTTTTTTAATGGTATTTAGTAGGGACCTTATTTTCCCTCCCTTTGTTTATATAGATAAAGGATAAGCAGTCTCTGCACCATTCAACTAAAAACACTGCCCTTTTCCCACTGATCATAATGCCTGCCCCTTCTGGTATCAATAAGGTTCCTTTGAACAAAGATCTATTTCTGGGGTATCTGTCTGCTTCATTTTTTTTTCTCCCTCTAATATTCTGTCTTAATTACTGTAGCTTTACTGGATTTTATATATTTTGATAGTTTCTCTAATGCTGTTCTACATAAATGCCTTGGCTGTTTTGGACCCATTTACTTTGATATAGTTTTCACTTGTTTTCAGTGTAAAATTTAATACTTGTTGATAAATTTAAAGGTTGTGTGACATCACCAAATCCAGTTTTAGAATGTTTTTGACATCCCCAAAAAGATCCCTTATGCCCATTTTCAGTCATTCCCCAAGCCCATCTCCAGTTGTAGGCAACCAGTATCTACTTACTGTTTCTAGATTTGCCTTTTCTGGGCATTTCATATGAACTTAATATGTTTCTTTTGTTTCTGACTCTTCATATAGTACGATGTTTTTGAGATTCATTCATGCCTTAGCATAGATCACTTTTATTTTTGTTTTAAAGAAATTTTGAGGGTTTATATATATTTATATATTTTTTATTTTTAGAGAGAGAGAGTGTGCATGAGTGGGGGAGAAGGGCAGAGAGAGAGAGAGAGAGAGAGAGAGAGAAAGAGAGAGAATCCCATGCGGGCTCCACACAGGGCTTGTTCCCGTGACCCTGGGATCATGACCTAAGCCAAAATCAAGAGTTGAATGCTCAACAACTGAGCCACTCAGGCACCCCAGTTACTACTTTTTATATACATATAATTGCCCCCATTATTCCATTGTATGTTTTGGAGATTCTGGGTCTTACAGTAAATGTATTTTTAAGAACTGCTACATTGTTTCCAAAGTGGCTGCATCATTTTACATTCCAGATAGCAATGTAAGAAGATTCTGGTCTCTCCACATCCTCACTCACACTTGTTACTGTCAGTTGTTTTGATTGTAGCTGTTCTAGTAGGGGTCAGGTGGTATCTCACTAGGCTTGTAATTTGCATTTTTCTAATGATTAATGGTGTTAAGCATCTTTTCAATTGCCATTGGTCAGTTCAGATCTTTACCCGTTATTTAATTGAATCATATTCTTACTGTTGAGTTGTAAGAATTCTCATATGTTGGGTATAAGTCCTTTATGATATATATGATTTGGAAATATCTTGTCCCAATATGTGGTTTTGTCTTTTTTTTCCCAGTTTGTGCTTGTATTTTTACAGTAGTGTCTATTAAAGCATGAACATTTTAATTTTGGCAGTAAGTGTATTTTTTTTAATGGATCATGCATGCTTTTGAGGTTGTATCTAAAAATTCTGTCTAACCCAAGATCACAAGCTTCACCTATATGTTTTCTAAAACTTTTTATAGTTTTAGCTCTTTCATTTATGTCTGTGATTCATTCTGAGTTAATCTTGAGAAAAGTATGGGCTAAGGATCTAAATATTTCTTTTTGCATATAGATATCTGATTGTCCCAGTACCATTTCAAAAAAAAGACTACCCTTTCCCCAGCGAGTTGCCTTGGCACCTTTGTCAGAAATCAATTGACTATAAATGTAAGAGTTTCTTTCTGGACTTTCAGTTGTGTTCTATTGCTCTATATGTGTATTCTTATATGTTATGCTCTTTATGTTTATCCTTACATGTTATCACACTGTCTTGTGATAGTGTCTTGTGATACTATAGCTTTCTACTAGGTCTTAAATAAGGAAATAGAAGCTGTCTAGTTTTGTTCATCTTTTCAAAAATTGTTTTGGCTATTTAGTGTCTTTTGCTTTTCCATATAAATTTTAAGATCAGCTTGTAAATTTCTGCAAAAACCTGTGCTGGGCTTTTGACAGAGATTACATTATTGATCTGTGGAGAATTGCCATGTTAACTGAATCTTCTGATCTGTGAATATGGAATATATCTCAATTTATTTATTTCTCCAAGTTTTGTAGTTTTCAGTGTATGAGTGTGTGGTTTACATTTTTGTTAAATTTATTTACATCTATTTTTTCCCTCTTTGATGCTCTTGATGAGAGGAATTAAACTTCAGTTTTTTAAAAAATGTTTTATTTATTTCTGAGAGAGAGAGACAGCGTGAACAGAGGAGGGTCAGAGAGAGAGGGAGACAGAATCTGAAACAGGCTCCAGGCTCTGAGCTGGCAGCACAGGGCCCGACATGGGGCTTGAACCCACAAACAGTGAGATCATGACCTGAACCGAAGTCAGACACTTAACCGACTGAGCCACCCAGGCGCCCCTAAACTTCATTTTTGGGTCATACATTCATGATATAGAGAAATAGAATTAATTTTTGTATTTTTTTTTTTTTTTTTTTTAGTTTATTTTTGAGAGAGAGGGAAAGCATGAATAGGGGAGGGGCAGAGAGAGACGGAGACAGACAGAGAGAGAGAGAGAATCCCAAGCAGACTCCACACTCAGTGCAGAGCTTGATGTTTGGCTCAAACCCACAAACTGTATGATCATGCCCTGAGCCGAAGTTGGACACTTAACTGACTGAGCCACCCGGGCTTCCCTAATCTTTGTATTTTGATCTGTTTGTGTGACTTTGCTGAAGTCATTTATTCTCTGTAGAGTGTGTGTGTGTGTGTGTGTGTTCTTTAGGAATTTCTACATATTATATGAGAATAAAGACAGTTTACTTCTTGCTTTCTAATCTGGTTGCTTTTCCTTTTTCTTGACTGATCTCACTGGCTAAAATGTCCTATGCAGTGTTAAATAGAAGGAACAGCAGACATCATTGCCTTTTTCCTGATATTAGGCAATAAGCATTTAGTCCTTCACTGTCATGATTTTAGCTGTATGTTTTGCAAAGATGCTCTTCATTGGTTGGAGGAAGTTCCCTTCTATTCCCGTTTTATCGAGAGCTTTTATCATGGATGGGTGTTGGATTTTTGTCAAATGTGTTTTATCCCCCTTTTTTAAAGTTTCTATTTATTTTTTTTGAGAGAGAGAGCCTATGTGCATGAGTGGAGAAGGGGCAGAGAGAGAAGGAGAGACAGAATCCTAAGTCTCTGCACTGTCAGCACAGAGCCTGAAACGGGCCTCCATCTCACCAACCGTGAGATCATGACCTGAGCTGCAATCAAGAGTCGGACGCTTAGGCTGACTGAGCCACCTAGGCCTCCCATCAAATGTGTTTTCCCTGTCTTCTGAGATATTTTGTCTCTCTCCCCTAGCCCCTCCCCTGCTTCTGCTCTCTCTCTCTCTCAAAATAAATAAATAAACCTAAAAAAAAGAATGTCCTTGATGAAACAGTAAAACGATTAATGTTGTTAAAACCCCAATTCTTGAGTATATGTCTTGTCAATAATCCATATAGTGAAATTGGAAGATGTATAAAGTATTTCTGTATGGTCTGGTATTCTCAAGGAAAAGCATTTATATGCTATTATCTTAATTGTGAGCTGAATTAGCTGCATTTTTTCATGAATGCTTGAAAGAGCAACCGAGGGGCAAACATTTTTTCAGATAAGGATATTTGGCAGGCACTTTCTCAAATGAATTAAGTGAGCCTGTTACTTCAGGGAAAATAACTGAAAATATTTGTTATCAATGATAAGATTCTGGCTTTTGAGCAAAAATTGCAATTTTGGAACATTTGATCTGCCTCTTTGAGCTTGAAAGCTTTCCTATAGTTAAAGACTTTTTGGTGAGATTCGTTGGTGATATTAAAGAATGGTGATATTTTAAAATGTCATAAATAATGTATAATAAACCATTTGAAAGATCTGTATAAATTAGTAAGATCATATTTTCCAAATAAATAATGGCTAGTGGTAAAAAATGCATGGGATGCATGGGTTAAACATCCATCTGACCTACAGGATAGACTAACAGGTTTTAATGTAGCAGTACAAAAAGTCCCTTCTTGTGGTTTCAGATTTTACATTGCAACTGGAAATTTGGTTATATTTGCATTTAGTATTTATTTGCCCACCACGTCGTTTTTTAGCTTTTCTGAATAAGTTTTAGCTTTTCTTATATAATGTGTATAGTTCAGTTTTGTTCTTTGAGCTAAACCAAAAATCCTTTACTTCTTTTGATAAGTGAATTAAGTAAGCCCTTTCACATTATTGAAATGATTGAACGTTTGGGTTAGCTTCTGTCATATTATAGTTACTGTGTAAATTGTTACATTTATGTGTTTTCCCTCTCTATGATGAATTTTCTTTTACTCTTTTATAAATTTTGCTTTATTCATCTCATTTTTATTTTTTGTTATTTTTCCACTTTTATCCAGTAACCCTTATTGTTTACATTCTAATCTATCTTGTCTTTTAATATAGCCTGTATTTTTGACATGATCTCTGTTTTGTATCATTTCTGAGATCAGTCAACTCTTGTTTCATTACATCTGGTTTTTTCAGTGTTTGTCTTAGGTTTTGAATTTCAGTTCGGGTTTCTTCATATTCTTTTTTTTAATGTTTATTTATTTTTAAGAAAGAGAGAGAGACAGACTGAGTATGAGCAGGGGACGGTCAGAGAGAGAGGTAGACACAGAATCTGAAGCAGGCTCCAGGTTCTGAGCTGTCACCACAGAGCCAAGTGCAGAGCTTGAACTCACAAACCATGGGATCATGACCTGAGCCAAAGTCAGACGCTTAACCGACTGAGCCACCCAGGCGCCCCAGGTTTTTTCATATTCTTAAACAGAGATATTTAATTCAGTTTGAATTTTTGTGTTACAGTTTTCTGCTGCTGCATGGTTTTTTGGAGGAAGGGAATAGGGATGGCTAAGTTGGTAATTTTCACCAGCTGATGTGTTTTTGTTTTCTTCCATAGTTTTGTATAGATGAAGAGTGCTTATGTCTACGCCTGTTCAAGACTGTTGATTTGGAGTGGTTTACAAGAGTCCTCATTTAAAGCGCCCTCTTGTGTCATTATGATGTTATGCATCTTCTCTAATTGATGGCAGAGGGGCAGAATCTAGTGTATAAGTGAGGGGATTGGTCTTCACCAAGCTGTTTCCAACCAGTGGAACAGAAAAGGAGCATATATGGCAGAGATGCTGGCTGGTAGGTAAATGTTGTAGTAGTAAATTGCAGAAGTCTTTTCTGATTGAGTTTTGTAGGTAAAATAGGAAGGAAGATTCAGCTGAGTGCAGATGCGTGGAGAGAGACAGGAGATTGAAAAGAGAAAACAGGTTTCTCTAGGAACACATTGGGATAATAGGTGGATAATGACTCTACAGTTAGGTCTTTTCATGTCATTAAATACATTTACAGCATATTTTTAATGGTTGCTCACAATTTTGGTTTATTGTTTAAATTACAGTTTGTGATTTTTTTAAAACTATTTTCCTGTTGTTTCCAGCTTCTCAGTATTTTAAATAAAATGGAACAATGTCTCTTGCTATACCATTCCTAAACTTGGAGTTTTTAACTTTTTTGTTAGGATATAAGAACGGTTATCTTTTTCATTGGTTTATAAACTGTAGTGAGATTGTACATTTGTGTAAAATGTAAATTTTAGAAATGTGATATCTCTGACATAATAGTCGAATACAAAATTCTCCAAGCACAGATAATGAGATTCTAAATATGCACTTGTATAGTGGTACTGATTATCATTAGAGCAATACTATGAGCCTGAAACTGTTGTCATCATATTGTTTTATTGCTGGGAAGAATAATAACATCACTAATTTGCTGGATACACAGAGTACACCAAAGGTAGTGACCGTTCTTAAAGTCCAGTTTGAAAATATAAGTCAGTTATTTTGCTTCTAACCTAATTCTGCTAAAGTAAGAAATGGAGTTGCACATATTTCAAGCAAAGGTTTATCAGACAAGACCTAGGAAAGGAAGAACCCAGGATAGTTCCTGGGCCTTTAGCATAGGAGTCTCTGAGCTAAGAGTGTATCATCTCTCCATGGCCCATTGCTATCTGCCAAGTTGATTGGCTCATTCCTTGGCTGTGGCTAGGGAGCAGGACAAGGCAATGCACTAGAAGCTGCTGGAGGAAGTCACAGAGGAAAGAGGTTGAGTTGATACTTCAAAAGGATCCTTTACCAAAGCCTTCAATGATTTAATGAAATTGTGCAAAGGAGTGGTTATATCACCTGGTGAATTGATATTTTGTATCTTTAGACATCATATATAATTCAAAGGATTTCCAGATCCTGTCAATTGCAGAAGGTGAATTTTATGGCAAACCTGTATGTTAGTTAACATTGGTCGACAATAAGCTAATGTTTATGCACAGTTATTATCTGTGGGCTATATGGTATTTTATTTAATACTGTTTAACTTTCTTATTTAAGCCATATTACTCTATAAGGTGGATATTGGGATCAATTGTATAGAAAAGGAAATTAAATAGGAACATTTACCTTCTACTTTTCTATTTCTGTGAACCTTCATAGTACTTACATTTAATTTTCTATGACAGTTTAATAATCCATCTCCTTATAATGTTAATTCACATACAGTTTAATACTGATGAGGTATAAATGTTTACATATAAAGTTCATTTTAAGAAAAAAATAATTTTATACTCCCAAGTGGTAGTACCCATCCTGCTTGTAAACTTAGAAGACCAGGCAGAGGTTTCAGGGACCGAGAAGTCAGAGAAGTTTAAAAGCTCTAATTTTAGAGGCCTGGAGGGCTCAGTTGGTTGAGCATCCAACTCTTGATTTCAGCCCAGATCATGATCTCACTGTTCGTGGGTTCAAGGCCCGTGTCGGGATTTGTGTTGACAGATCAGAGCCTGCTTGGGATTCTCTCTCCCCCTCTCTCTCTGCCCCTCCCCCACGTGTATGTGCATGCACTCTCAAACTACACAAATGAACTTTTTTTTTTTTTAAAAAAAAGCTCTTATTTAACAGCTGTTATTTTGAAGAGGCAAACATATTTGTGTCCATGAAATCTCTTTAACTTCCGTTAAATCAAGTTGAGGAGAGAGCTATTCTCTCTGATGTGCTCTTTGCACCTAAAGCAGCCATTAGGCCCTGGGTCTCTTATATCTGGGTTAGTATAGCACCTTTCAACTGAATCTCCTGCCTCCATTTTCCACTTCTTCTCCCAGTTCACTCTCTTTTCCTCAGAGCCCATTTCCAGTGTCCTGCTTCAGCCACCCCTGACCCCGTGTAGTATCTGATTCAAGATCCATTTGTCCTCTAGGTCCTAAGTGCTCTGTTGTACGGCCATCTCATCCATACCATGTTTAGTTCCTGCTACCTTCTCCTCACTGCTCCTCTTGGTTTTCTTCTGTGAAGTAAATGTCACTGAACCTTGATGGAGCTCCAAGCAGTTATATGAATACTAAAACCATAGTCAGTTCGGGGTGACTGGCTGGACCAGTCAGTAGAGCATGCATCTCTTGATCTCAGGGTTGTAAGTTCAAGCCCACACTGGGCATGGAGCCTACTTAAGATAAAAATTGAAAAAAAATTTAAGCCATAATCCATTAAAAATATATTGGACCAGAAGAAATGTAATTAAGACAGTTGTAATAGAAAAGTCTGTACATGGATTTCTACATCATTTGGCCAGCATGGTTCTCTTGGCTATATTAAATTTATCTCGGATCTTTTTTGGAGCCAAAACAGAAAAGATGAAGTGGTTATCTATTTAACCTCTTATTATCAGAAAGGAGGTGGAATGTAAAACCTCACCTTTCCTAGTAATTCATGTAAACACTTCTCATGTGAGTCTTCGTTGTGGAAATCACTAAGTAAAATGAACAAAATTTTTATTTTTAAGATTCTGTGTAACAAGTTTCATATAACTTTTTTTGTGGTCTGTAACTAAAAGCCACAAGACTATAAACCTCAATTATTTTTCAGTTGGTAAGACAATACATGTTGAGTGTGTTATCTTTTGGTGTTTTGACTTAATCCAATTGTAGAACTTCAGGAATTCAGACCCACAAGTGTTAAATGACTTGTCCCTTGTCTTAATAGGCTTCCTGACTTCTGGCATAAGTGTCTTAGTTCACTGACTGGTTTTGATAAGTATAACCATTGGGAGGTTGCATTCAAAGATTTCTTCTGAGCTGTTGCTTGTCGAGATCAAAATACCATGTGATTTGGTGATCTGGCCTAAGGAATATGGAGCTCTTACTGCCAATCAGAAGCACAAATGCCACATTTGCAGTTTAGTGAGATCAGAATATCTCAGGTTAAGCACCTGCTGAATGGTAGGATTATATATATGAAATCCTTTTCAATACCTATTACAACCCTATAATAGGGATTATTATAACAATAGTAGTTGTTATTACTATTTACAGCTGAGGAAACCATGTCTCTAAGAAGGCATTACCCGCCTTGAGTCTCCACAGCTGATAAGCTTAGTTGCATACCACTACATGTGTTTTCTCCCCTTCCTAACAGAATTTTAGTTTAGCTTAGGTGTCCTTCTCTCCTCCATGACATCATCACGTGTGGTTTGTAGATTGTGGGCTCTGGATTCAACCCTTAGAGTTGTATCAACGAGGATCTGAAGTTGTGGTTCTCAACCTTGGCTTCTTATTGAAATCTTTTTAAAGGAAAACTTAAATAAAAACAACAGCAACAACAAAACTTATGCCAGGGGACTACTCCCAGAAAGTCTGAATTTTTTTTGGCAGGGAGCAGGGTACAGGGAGGCCTGGTGTGAACATGAGATTTTCAGTAGCTCCCAGGTGATTCTAAAGTATAGCCAAGGTTGAAAACCACTAATGGAAGTGCCATTCTTGCCTGTAGTTGGTTTAGGTTTGAAATATGATAACTTGTCCTCCGGTTCACTTCTGGGGAAGTTCTCATTTCTTGAGGTACACAAGAAGGACGTTAGGCATTCCCATGTCTAAATATGACAGCTGGGACTGATGCTGCCATCTTATGACCTCAAGGGGAGCTAGCTAACCAGCCGAAGGTGACACAGATGGAAGTTGGGAATAAGCTGGGTTCTTTTTTTTTTTTTTTATTAAAAAATTTTTTTTAAACATTTATTTGTTTTTGAGAGACCGAGAGCGACAAAGCATGAGCAGGGGAGGGGCAGAGAGAGGAGACACAGAATCTGAAGCAGGCTCCAGGCTCTGAGCTGTCAGCACAGAGCCCGATGCAGGGCTCGAACTCATGGACGAGACATTGACCTAAGCTGAAGTTGGATGCCTAACCAACTGAGCCTCCCAGGCACCCTGAAGCTGGGTTCTTGATAACAGCTGAGCCATGGAATCCACCAGCCTTAGAGAAGAGATCCCAACCTTCAGATTTTGTGTTACACCACATGAATAATTCAGCGTATTTTCTTTTTCTTTGCTTAAAGCTTATTTATTTTGAGAGAGCACATGAGCAGGAAAGGGGCAGACAGAATCCCAGGCAGGCTCAGCACTGTCAGTGCAGAACCCGATGTGGGGCTTGAACTCTCGAGCTGTGAGGTTATGACCGGAACTGAAATCAAGAGTCGGCTGCTTAACTGACTGGGTCACCCAGGCACCCCTCAACATATTTTCTTTACTCTTTTAAGCCATTTTGATTTGAGTTCTCTGTTACCTACAGTGAAAGGCAAGTTAATAAATATGAGCCAAGAATCAAACCTCCATTCATCTGTCCAAAGTTTGTATTTCTCCCCAAGCACCTTCTTCCCTGAAGACTGAGTTTCCTGTCTCTGCTCCTGCAGACAAGACAGACTAAGAAATGGGTGTGAGAAAGGAGGAAACGGGACAGTGGGGAGGGTTGTGTTCCCGGCATGGAGCAGAAACTGGGAAGGGATAGATCTGTTTAAAGGAGAGAATGTAGGGGCGCCTGGGTGGCTTAGTCGGTTAAGCGTCCGACTTTCGCTTAGGTCGTGATCTCACGGTTCGTGGGTTTGAGCCCCGCGTCGGGCTCTGTGCTGACTGCCAGCTCAGAGCCTGGAGCCTGTTTCAGTCTGTGACTTCCTCTCTCTCTGACCCTCCCCTGCTCATGCTCTCTGTCTCTCTCTCCTAGAAATAAATAAAAAATTTAAAAAATAAAAAAATAAAGGAGAGAATGTATATGTTGAATTGGGAAGGATAAGATATCCAACTCAGCTCAAAGTGGTATTGATTCCTGTGAAATTTGCAACACTCTTCACATTTCTTAAAAATAAAGTAAGAAAAAATAGCCATATTTTTAGTTGCTGTGTATCATTCTGGGATACACATTTTCATAGTTAACATCTCTGAAACTGGAATGTATTTTACAGTTGATGGAATATCACATTTTACTCAGCAGGTTATTTTTTCTTACTGGTACATAAAAAATGGTGGATCTTATTAGTGACATTTACATGTCATTGAATGTAATTTCTTAATTGAACTTAAATGTGCATATAGGCAAAACTTTACTGTGACATAAATTGTCATGAAATTTATTTTGGATTAATAAATTATGAAAACATAAAAAGGTTTTTGGGTTTTTTTTTTGTTTTTTGTTTTTTTGTTTTTTTTGTGAAAAAGAGTGGTTCCATGTCTCCCAACTTCCCCTGGCAGAATTCAAAAATGGCTCCCAAGATCCTTTGCCGCTGGTACACACCACCTGTTTAATCACTTCCCTTTGTGGACATTACTGTACGATGGATTTTACTCCCATGATTATCTTTCATTATATGTCAAAGACGAAGTGGCTTTACCTTTGATATAATTGGGGCCTTGAATCAGTTGGTTTGGAGTTTAATCAATCCCAAATTGATTAAATGATCCCAACTGGCCTAAGGTATAATCAAATGAACCTCAAAAGAGACTGGGTCTTTCCTAATGCCAAAGATTGAAACAGAACTTCTCTTACTGGCCTTGAAGAAATAAGTTGGCCATGATGTGAGAGGGCCATGAATCCAGAGTCGAGAACAACCCTCAGATGACATGGAAAAAGTGAGAACCTCAGTCTTAAATTCTGCCAACCACTTGAAGGGACTTGGAACAAATATTCCAGGCTCATTTTTGTATGTTCCCAATCCAGCCCTCACATCAGCTATTTCTCTAAGGAGCCCAGATTCCTTCTAATTGAGAATAGTATTCATAATCTGAGATGTAGGTGCTGGATGTGCTTATTGCTGTTGAGCCTGGTCAGATGAAGACAGGCCCTGAGAATATGGTGTGAACTGTCCTACAGACCGAAGAGTCACAGTCTGGGGTGAATGGGGCTTTTAAGGAGCTCTGAATCTGTCCTACCCACTCTGGAGACCGCTACAGATAGGATACTGGTTTTCAGTTACTGTAGCTGTCGGCTCTTAGCTTCAAGTCTACTGTGGAACTGGGGAGAGAAGAAGGAGATTAGGGCACGTCGTTGCCACAAGGCATTTTACCAAGATTCAGCTATTTTTCTTGAGTAAATTCTCTGTTGTAAGCCTTTAATTTCCAGATATCTGAAAAAATTTGTTTTGACTGTTTTTGCCATTTCTCTCATGTCTTTTATGGAGTGGTGGATTTTTAGAAGTCCTTGGTCTGCCATTCTGGAAGTAGAAAGGCTGGTTCAATTTTAAGTATTGTTTGATATCATAATACCTTTTTTTTTTCTGGTCATATCTGCACTTTAGAAATAATTATTTGTGACTGGTATGAAGACTAAATGTGTACCAGCTTGTAGTCCTTTTATTTCAGTTAGCAATAATTGCGCCTCGGATAGACCTCATTGGCTACGATCCCGCCACTGCGCAAAGCTGTCGTCCTTTTATTTCAGAATTCACCCTTTCCCACCTCGCTGTCCAGGGCCTCATCTTTCTGGCAGGATGCTCCTTGTTTCTGAGTAGTTAGGCCCTTCACTCCTGTTCCAAATTTTTAACTGCCTTTTTTAGGAGTTCCACAGAAGTGATCTTATTTACCATTCACATAAGTCTTAGATAAATTTACTATCCCAGCTGTGTTCTCAGCAAGAATATTTCAAATTTATTTGCCTGCCTGTGTTGCTTGGCAGGTATATTTATTACATAATAATATAAACTAGGCTTTAATCTTGGACTTCCTGAACAGATTTGTGATTCGGCCCCGTCCATATCTGCTGACACACCAGCTCTTTTCAAGCTTTCTGTATGCCCACGGACTGCAAGCCAATTTAAACTTCCTCGTGTAGCTGAACTCGGTTAGGTGAACCCGGAATCAACAGAAATGCTCCTTATTTCAGCCAAATGGACATGAAACAGTCATTTCAGTCCACGAAGAAGGAAAACCTGGTCCCAGTGAATTCCTGATTGTCTCAGAGTCTGAATGCCCGTCCTTGTGCAGCTGTGAAGGGTTCTATGTTCTCCCCAAGGCAGGGAGATGATGCTCACGGCCCCGCAGGAAGCAGAAACCTGGCCAGCCTGCCCTGGCCCCTGCCGCTCCAGCCTGCCAGCCCTTCTGCGGGTCTGCGTTCCTCGGGATGCGCCTCCAGCTACATCTGTACCAGGAGAAAGAAAAAAGGAAAAGAATGACCCTGACTTTCTAAATGGGCTGTGCAGGCCCCTCCGTCTGGGAACCGAGAGGCAAGACAGAAAAGAGGTTGCCGGGTAACAAATGAGGAGACCCTGCTGGTGCCCATGGCCTCTGTTTTGTCAAATCTCCGCCGGGCCGTAACAAGGCCATGGTGTGGGAGCTGCATGAAGGATTGTGAAACAGGCCTCCTGGGCCTGCCCGGTAATCGGCAAGCCTCCGCTGTTCAATGCCCCAGGTCAAATGCCAGGATTGGAGAATAGGGGTTCAGGACTTCAGTGGCGCCTGCAAGTGTCAGTCCCCTTGTTGGCCTGCTTTCCTCTGAGGCCTCACCCATGTTTCCTTTGTCGCCAGGGGACAGCTTTAGTGAACATCAGGTAAGGTGCCCTTCACCCTCCACCCTCTTCTGGGCTTAGCAGCCCTTGAACCCCTTGTCTTAAATTGTCTTCTCTATTCTGGAAGCAACACAAGGGCATTCAGTGTCTCTGTCTTGTTCAAGGCGGTGTTCCCTGAAGGACCGGGCACATAGAAGACCTTCATTCAGTGTTCATTAAATTATTAAAACATCCAAACATTAGAGGGGCACTGCTTTTTGTTCCCCAACTGTATGGAAACAGACCTTTAGGTGAAAGAATATAAAGGAATTTCTAAATGTTAAGCCTTGAAGTGGTAGAGGTCAAACCGTGGAAGAGCATCGATGGGGTTGATGTGTCCTGCTCAAGTAATGAAAGAAATCCCCAGGCAGAGGCAGAATGTAGGAAGGCAACTGAGAGAGGAAGAGGGAGGGTGGGAGGGAAAGAAGGAAAGTGCATAAATGCCTCCCTGTACAGATGGTCCTGACTTAACGGTGGTTCGGCTCAGTGCTATTTCAACTTTATGATGGTACAAAAGTGAGACACACTCAGTAGAAACCGTACCTAGAATTTTGGATTTTTAGCTTTCTCCGGGCTAACAGCATACAGTACAATCTTCTCTTGATAGATAGTCTCATGATGCTGGGCAGCGCCGCCGGCCACAGGCTCCCGGTCCCAGCCACGTGGTCTCCAAGGCGAACTACAGATGGCTCATGGCCATCCTGTACCCATATACCCTTCCAGTTTTCAGGTTCAGTACGGTGTTCAAAGAGGTTTAACACTTTATTATCAAATAGGCTTTGAGTTAGGTGATTTTGCCCAACTGTAGGCTAAAGTGTCCTGAGCTCATGTCAGGTAGGCTGGGCTAAGCCATGATGTTCAGGTTAGCATCTTAGATGCATTTGACTCATGATATTTTCCACTTATGATGGGCTTTCAGGGACATGACCCTGTTGTAATGGAAGATCTGTGTGTGACACTCAAATGCACATGTGAGGTGCCTTTGAGCCTTTACACAGTTCCTCCTGAGCAGCCCATCCTCTTTTCTCATTTCCAGATTTGGGACTCTTAAGAAAAAAAAATTTTAACATTCATTTTTGAGAGAGACAGAGCATGAACGGGATGGGCAAAGAGAGAGGGAGCTGTCAGCACAGAACCCGACGTGGGGCTCAAACCCATGAGTGAGAACATGACCTGCACTGAAGTCAGACACTCAACCGACTGAGCCACCCAGGCACCCCCCAGACTTGAGACTCTAAATGAGTGCCATCCCCAACTACCTAGTGCGTGTTCACCATTGAGCACCACACGCCAGTGGGCCTAGGGACCACAGTGGAGACCACTGGTTGCTTGAGTTGAGAGTTGATGCCCATCAGTCAAAGACCACCCGGAACCCACCTAGAGTCAACAACGCCAGGTTTATGATTCGCTGCAGCAAGAGAGGGATTGCATTTCAGGGGGCTGGGGGCCATCTCAACAGGAGGGAATTAGGGAAAAATAATCCAAATTCTGGAGACTAGGGTGAGTCATGGGATGGTCTTGGCAGGGGTGAGTCAGATTTTGTCAACTAGAGAGTTGCTGCCGGGGTCTTCTCTGTGAGTGAGTGAGTGTTAGGAGTTTACACCAGGACGCTTTGTGGCTTGCATGCTCTGAAGGCATGCAGTGGATGGGTTATGTGAGTCCTAGGGCACTGCCTTTTGGGAAGTTGTGGTTTCTGTTTCAGTTCCCGGTTCTCCCCCACAGCCTGGCTGGCGGCAGAACAGTTTTTCACTCTTTTAAAAAAATTTTTTTTTAATATTTATTTTTGAAGGAGAAAGAGACAGAGCATGAGTGGGGAGGGGCAGAAAGAGAGAGGGAGACACAGAATCCGAGGCAGGCTCCAGGCTCCAAGCTGTCAGCACAGAGCCCGATGTGGGGCTCGAACTCATGAGCCACGAGATCATGACCTGAGCTGGAGTTGGGTGTTTAATTGACTGAGCCACTCAGGTGCAGCATCAGTTTTTCACTCTTTATCAAGAGGAGAGCATAGCAAAAGAGAGAGATGGGGGAACGCTAGGCAGCGACCTGCCTACCTGACCGCTGTGTCCCCGGCCAGCCGAGAGAGGGGGAGCTGCGTGCAGTGGTGCCAGTGGAGACCGCCGGGGACGGGTCTCAGATTCAGGATGAATTTCTGTGGAATTCCCATCTGTGTGTGTTTTGCCTCACTTTTGATCTAGATTAGAAGTCATATTCTTCTGTTTGTATAAGACGAAAAGGAAATGCAGGCCATGCGTTCTGGTTCTGAGGGCACAACTGGCCTGTAATCAAGTCCTCCACTTGCTCTGTAGGGTCACCTGATGCTAACGAAAACAGAGACTGTCACAGGAGTGTTTGAACACTGACGGAGCCAGCCGGGTTCTGTGGGAATCTTGCGGGGGTGGGGGGGTGGGTGGCAAGAGGGGCACGCCCTAAGGGGAAAGTGACTTTGATTTTGTTTCCAGTCCTCTAGGCTAATCCAGGTTTTAGGATTAAGAGTCCAAATTCCTTCCTTATCCTTTCAGTCAATGACTCTCTTTATGAAATATGCTGATTGAGCCCTTTGTTTCAGCTGGTACTGTGGAAAGAAGTAGAATTATATTATTACTAGTTAGAACCTTGGCCAATTTCTTTTTCAAAAAAAAAAAAGAAAAAAAAGGACACCATGTTTGAAAATCCGTCTTGGGAATGTCCCCTGTCTGACTGTGTACTCCTTGCAAAAGACCTTCTTCTGGGACTCTAATTTATCAATTAAAGTAATAAAGTGACGATCTTTATCACACTTTAGTGAGTCAAGTTTATTGACAAAGAGAATGGCTGGACCAGGATGGGGACTTCTGAAGAGAAGTATGTACTTGGTGGATCGTGGCTGGCCATGTTCCCCAGGCTGGAGATGAGCCCTCCCTCAGCAGGTGAGAGGATTGACTCTTGGCAGCTGACGGGGTCTTATCTGTGAGTACGTGAGTGTTAGTTTACACTAGGGAGCAAACTAGTGTAAACTGGAGGGGAGACTAGGGTACAAGGTGTATTTGTTTCCTGGGGCTGCTATAACGAAGCACCGCAAACTGGTGCCCTACAACAACAGAAACGTATCCTCTCACAGTTCTGGAAGCTAGATGCCCAGAGGATGCATGCCTGCTCTCATGGAGCCGGGCGTCCTGCCGGTTAGACCCAAACAACGAGGACTCCATCTCCACTCCACTTACGCTACAGCCACATCATCTCATATGACAGGAAGTCCAGCTGGGGGAAAGGCTCAGGCAGATTTCGCTGGGACCCCAGCTCCATTTCCCTCAGCTCTACTTGTAGCCAGGAGGCTTTTCCCTTATACCCTCTTCCCTCATTGTCAAAAGCATGGCTCCCGGCACCAACTGTGATGACATATTTCCTCCCATTCAGTGGAAAAGAAAGAGACCTTTCCAACCATATCATAAGCCCTTCCCGTCTCTGCCTCAGACATTCCCTGGGTACCTAGCACTTGCCTGTGGAATACAGTGCATGGCTGGCTCTCGTCTGGGTCTCTGACACTCAGGGACTGAGGATGATTCACTGTGTTGCCTTGGAGCCTGGAGGGTGGGAGGTGGGTGGCCACCTTCCCCTAAGACACAGGCTGGAATGAGGATTGTATTTATTGGCTAGGGCCGCTGTAACAGAGTAGCAAAGACCATGTGATACAACAAAACTTTATTTTCTCACAATTCTGGAGGCTAGAGGTCTGAGATTAAGGTTGTCGGTAAGGTTGATTTCTTCTGAGGCCTCCCTCCTTGACTTGTAGATGTCTGTCGTCTCCTCCCTCTGGCCTTGTATGGTCTTCCCTCTGTGTGTATCTCTTTCCTAATCTCTTTTTATAAAGATGCCAGTCATACTGGATTAGAGCTCACCCTCA